CCCAAAGTACTGGGGTTACAGGCATAAACCACCATGCCTGGCCAGTATTCTTTAAGTATTTGATTAAATGCCTTGTTTTGCACCACTGTTTCGGAAAACAATCTCTTGCTCCTTCAGCTCAGCATTTCTCACCCAGAGGCTGTGTGAGTGTGTGTGTGTGTGTGTGTGTGTGTGTGTGTGTGTGTGTGTGTAGGTGTAGGTTCTATGGCCTTATTCTCAACGGCTTAAGAATTCAGTACACGCCATTACATATGCTCTTTTTATTAAATGAAAAAGCATATTGTGGATCATCAGGAGGGACGCTTTAGCAACACTGATCTGCTACAGTGATGGTGGTTAACACTAGATTCAGTATTGCTGAAATGTGCCCACGAGAGCTTCTTATAGGGACGTTTTCAGGAGGCCTGAAAGTTCATGTTTGGGGATGTTGCTGTCAGGCACAGTTAAGATGCACCTTTTTCTTGGAAATGCCTCTCTCAATGCACCCAGTCACATAGTCACATGCCCCTGTATCACTTACCGTACCGTCTATTATGACTCTTACGGGCTTTCCCACCAGCTCTCTCACCCCTCTCCCAGAGTCAGAACTCTGCTTCCATAATATTTACCTATTTTACAGCATTCACGGAGCTCTTTGATAATTATGCATTGACAAGTCTGTCTCCTACTGGACACTAAGAATGTGCAGTTTAGGGCTGTTCAGCCTTGTGTACCCAGCACAGTGCTTGCTCCATGGACTAAGTGCTCGTTAAGTTGGTCAGATTGAGTCAAGAGGTGACTGTGTCAGGCTTAGGACAAGCACATGTTTAAGGTCTTCACATTCTCTTGAAATGAGATTCATTGCAGTGATTTGTTTTTCATTTCTTTCTTTCCTTTTTTTTTTTTTTTTTTTTTTTGAGGCGGAGTCTTACTCTGTCACCCAGGCTGGAGTGCAGTGGTGCCGTATCGGCTCACTGCAATCTCTGCCTCCTGGGTTCAAATGATTCTCCAGCCTCAACCTCCCAAGTAGCTGGGATCACAGGCAGGTGCCACCACGCCTGGCTAATTTTTGTATTTTTAGTAGAAATGTGGTTTCACTATGTTGGTCAGGCTGGTCTCAAAATTCTGACCTTAGGTGATCCACCCACCTCTGCCTCGGAAAGTGCTGAGATTATAGGCGTGAGCCTCCATGCCCAGCCGCCTCTGGAACTTCTCACTGTCCAACTTCAAGTTAGGGTTCCCATGACTCCCTCTTTGGGTTTGATTAATTTGCTAGAGAGGCTCACTGAACTCAGGAAAACACATTTACTGGTTTATTGTAAAAGATATTACAAGGGATACAGTGAAGACATACATAAGGTGAGCTATAAGGAAGGAATGCAGAGTTTCTGTGCCCTCCCCAGGTGCAACACCCTCCAGGAACTCTCCCAACTCTGTCCTCTTGGGCCTTTTATGGAGACTATTGGATAGGCATGATTGACAACCATGTAGAAATGTGACTGACAAAAAGGGTATGATTGAACACTAATAGACTGAGTGGAGAAACCCAGCAAGACCTGTCTGTTCGGATCCTTCTGGCCTCTTTATGCAGCTTTCCTTCTTCCAGTGTTTGGGGCAGGACCCCTTCTGAAATGGGAGTCTTGTGACCTGCAATCAGACAGGGTAGGTCAGATAATTTTTTACGGCCGGCTCCTACACAGCAAGGTGGGGAAGATGCCTGTCTTTGGGACAAAAAGGAGCAGGTGAAAAGATAGCAGGAGAAGGTCAGAGAGAGAGATTCTGTTTTCTGAGGCCTGCTCCTCAACAGATTCTGTTTCCTGAGGCCTTAAGGTGCCTCAACATTATAACAAAGGCTATGAGAGTTATGAACTAGTAGCTGTGGACAAAACCCCACATGTATATACGTCATCATATCACAGATGGTAAGCATGGTTATTTTCTAATGTGTCTAATTTCCAGTATACTTCGTCCTGTTTCTGTCTTTAGTCTGTTTCATGTCACTTGGTTTCCTCATGTGCTTAGTTATATTGAACTTCCTGCTTGTCATTGTGTCGTGTAAGTTATTTGTTAGAGTGTCAAGTGTTAGGATGAACCTAAGACACGGAGTTCTGTGTGTATTTTCTGGGATATGAAGAGCAGTTCCAGTCTGGAGCCTCCAGAACCAAGCAGGCTCACAGTTTGAAGATCCCTGGCACGCTCAGGTGTGAGGCTCAAAGGTTTCTGAGCCTTATTTCATGATGGCCTGGTTTATGAACATTCTTTATCAGGATGGGTCTATTTTAAAATTTCCCTTTTCTTTTCTTTGATTTGGAACCACTCTGGCCTTCTCTGTAGCCCTGTAAGTTTGAGGACAGGCAGTTTTGATGCCTTTGGGCCCAGAATCTTGGCTCTGTTGTCCCCCTTTCCTGAGGCCACAGAATGGAAGCTGAGTGTACTTGAATGGCAATTGGCTTTTACTACTTTTATGTGTTATGTATCGCCCAAGATTGACCCAGGAGTTCTTGCTCTCTTTAACTCTTCAGTCTTTTAAAGGTAGTTCCTCACTCCCCTCAAGAAGTATGTATCGTGTCTAGGATTTTTCTTTTCCTTCCCTCCATCCCTTCCTCCCTCTTTCTCTTCCTCCCTCCCTTCCTCCCTCCCTCCCTACCTCTCTCCCTCTCTGCCCCTGTCCCACTCTCTCTTCTCCTCCTTCCCTCCTTCCCTTACTGTTTGTCTTCCTTCCTTCCCTCTCTCCTTTTATCCCTTCTTCCCCCTTCCCTCCTTCCTTCCGTTCTTTCCCTCTCTCCCTCTCTCCTTGCTTTCTCTCTTTCTTTCCTCCTCCTTTCCTTCCTTTCCAGCAGGATGGTTCTGAATAACCTAGTCCGCTAATTCTAGAAACAGGAGATCTAAAAATATGTTTAGAAAAAGTAAATTATTAACAACTGACAGTAAGTCTTAAAATGGGTATCCCCTTTTGGGATTCTTTCAGACTTGTCAGTCAAGGCAGAGAGCATAGACCATGAGTCATTATAAAAATATGTCACTTATATATTTCCAGTAAAAAGATCCTTAAAAATGACCCACAATTATAAAACCTTTCCAAGAAATGAGTAACTTGAATGATTAGCCTAACTTACTAGAATTTATTCATTACACTTATCATCAAGATACTTCCTAAGGCAAGAAACCAAACTTAAACTGGCTTAAGTCACAAAGGGTATTTGTTGGCTTGAATGGAAAGACTTGGGATGGATTACTTCAGGAACAGGTGGATCCAGGAATTCAAATATTATCATTAAGCATAGTGTCTGTCTGTCTGATCTGTGTTAGCTGCAGTCTCTGGCAAGCTCTCCTTTGGTGGTGAGATGCGTTTTAGGAACTCCAGACTCACACAGTCTATGCTTGAAGTCAATGATCTCCAAACTTTGTTGATTATGTACCCAGTAATAAAAGTTGAGCGTAATAGTCCCGGTGTGTATATATTTCTTTATACATGATATGCTACTCAATACTACTTTTATGTGTTATGTATATTCTTTGTTATGTTGTACATGCTGTAAGTTATATTGCTATGTTGTATGTATATTCTATGTTATACTAGTTATGGTGTTCAATTTTTAGTTTTTAATGTAAAGAATGAAATAGAAATACTAATATTTTTTATACTCCCAGTGGATTGTTTTCTACAACCCACTTCGGGACTATAATAACAGTCCTGTGAACCACATCTCATTGGTTCTTTTTAGCCTAGCTTGAGTCATGTGCTCATTCCTGAATCCAGAGTCCTTGAAATAGTAAAAGCAAAATTTTATTAATATAAAGTGACAAATATCTGAGTAGGCTTAAATAGAGAGATGCAGTTTGTCTTTTTGAAGCTACATGTATTCTGGAATCATATAATCACTGATATTTTATCCAATAAAGGGGTCATAGTCCTTTTCTCCAGTACAGCATCACAGAACAAAGATTCTCTGCTTCCATAACAATCTAATTCCATTAGTTTATACTAAGTTTCTATAATGTCATACCTGGAGTATCATGAAAATGTCCTATCTGGTTTTTGTTCATATACTTACACACACTCACACAAACATAAACATACATACTTTCTCCAGTGACAGATCAATGCTCTATGTTAAGATGTAGGAATTGATGAGTCTTGCAAGTAAAATCAATTTTTTATAATTCTTGGCTGTTTTGTTTTTAATTTTTAATTTTTTTTTGAGAGGGAGTCTTGCTCTGTCACCCAGGCTGGAATGCAGTGGTGTGATCTTGGCTTACTGCAACCTCCACCTCCTGGGTTCAAGTGATTCTCCTGCCTCAGCCTCCCGAGTAGCTGAGATTACAGGGGATCACCACCACACCTGGCTAATTTTTGTATTTTAGTAGTGACAGAGTTTCACCATGTTGGTCAGGCTGGTCTCGAACTCCTGACCTTAAATGATCTGCCCGCCTTGGCCTCCCAAGTTCTGGGAGTATAGACATGAGCCACTGCACCTGGCCAAGATTGGCCATTTTGAACAAGTTTGGTAGCTGTCTGGAAAGGTAGGAGATAGAGGGTCTGGAATAATTTTTCAGATTTTATTTTTTTTCTTTTTGGAGACAGAATCTCATTCTGTCGCCCAGGCTGGAGTGCAATGATATGATCTCCGCTCACTGCAACCTCTGCCTCCCGAGTTCAAGTGATTTTCCTTCCTCAGCCTCTTGAGTAGCTAGGATTACAGGCGGGCGCTACCACCCCTGGCTATTTTTGTTGTTGTTGTTGCTGTATTTTTAGTAGAGACAGGGTTTCACCATGTTGGTCAGGCTGGTCTTGAACTCCTGACCTCATGATCCGCCTGCCTTGGCCTCCCAAAATGCTGGGATTACAGGCATGAGCCACCACACCTGGCCAATTTTTCAGATTTCTAAAGAGAAATGGAATTCCCTGGTTGGAGAGAGAGTTCTGTTTAAACAGGTAAAGCAAGTGAATAGAAAGTATTTTTTCTCATGAACTGAGAGACAGGCTTTCCTGGGTATTTAAAATTGATCTTCTGTGGCAGAAATGCAATGGCACATCATGATTCTGAGATGAAAGAAGAATGTCTAAGGGAAGACCTGAGGTTTTACTTCATGAGCCCTTGTGAAAAATACCGAGCCAGACGCCAGATTCCATGGAAACTGGGTTTGCAGATTTTGAAGATAGTCATGGTAACTACACAGGTAACTTATATTATTATCTCATCTGGTTTTTCCCTTACCCCCAGACAAAACTCTTTTTATGTGTTCTGTACTTGACTTTTGTTCTGAAAAGTTCACGCTCAAGTTTATAAAACTAAAATTATATTGAATCTGGAGAGCAGAGGGTAGGTTGAAGTTCTGTTTAGAAGATGATCTTGTCTTACTAACAGATCCTGAGGTCCTCTGTGTACAGATTCTGTAAATACTGAATAAATGTAGATCTGTGGTGAGGGGTTTCTATATCTGAGTGGCGCACATTTGTGTTCTTGAAATCTCTATTAAATACACCTTATTCAATATACTTTCAAAATCTGTGTTTTTGTCTTCAGACTTACTGAATCCTAAGTTTTCCTTTTATCATATCAGTGTGCTCTATCTAAGTAAATACTGATTCCAGGCACTACCAGGATTATACAAAAGCTACATTTGGACCTTTTATTTGTGTTCATATTGTTGAGCTCTTTATTACCGGTATCAAAACAGCCATCAGAGTTTTCCTCTAGTTTTGGGCCTGTATTGCTGAACCAGTACTGGGGAGGCTTCTCTGTAGGTCAGGGGTTCCTAACCCTGTTACACAGCAGGAGGTGAGTGTAGGCAACGGAGCAAAGCTTTATCTGTCTTTATAGCCACTCCCAATTGCTTGCAGTATGGCCTTAGTTCTGGCTCCTATCAGATCAGTGGTGGCATTAGGTTCTCATAGGAGCACAAACCCAATTGTTAACTGCACATGGGAAGGATCTAGGTTGTGTGCTCCATATGGGAATCTAATGCCTGATGATCTGTCACTGTCTCCCACCGTCCCTAGATGAGATCTTCTTGTTGCAGGAAGATAAGCTCAGGGCCCCCACTGATTCTGCGTTATGGTGAGTTGTATAATTGTTTCATTATATATTATAATCTAATAACAATAGAAATAAAATGCACAACAAATGAAATGCATTTGAATCATCCTGAAAGCATTACCACACCCCTCTCCAGTCCATGAAAAAATTGTTTTCCACTAAACCAGTCCCTGTTGCCAACAAGATTGGGGATCACTGCTATAGTTAACTGTAATTGAAACACATGCCTTTTTAAACTAATTTGGTGGTATTTTTCTCTACTGGCAAATAATCATTCTGTTATCAGTATAGAAGTATGTAAAGATGTTATTTCTGGAACATTAAAATAAATACTTTAAAAATACCTTCATGTAGTTTAGAAATGGGAGAAGATCCCTGCCATAACTAGAGTTGCTTCTTTATTCTGTGTCATAAAGAGGCTTCTCAGTGTATGACATGCCATATGTACCAACTCATCAAGTTTAGGGAAAGCAAGTTACTTCAAAACAAACAACACAGTTGAGATGCAAAGACATTTTAAAATGTGTATACTTATTATTAGCTTGTTTTCATTCTTGGATTTGAAGTTTTGATTTGGTAACCAATAAAATAGATACATTGATACATTGTTAGTATTATTTGGAAGGAGAAGAAATAATGTCCCCTTTTGTCAGTTGGTTAATTTTAATTGTTTGCCAATTTCTTTTCTTGTTAAATCAACTTCCTTCAATTATTTGATCTATTAACGTTACTAAAATTCTAATTTACTCAGTCATAAAATATCATTGCCATCTGTATTAGTGTGTTCTCCCATTGCTATAAAGAACTACCTGAGACTGGGTAATTTATGAAGAAAAGAAATTTAATTGACTCACAGTTCTGCAGGCTATGCAGGAAGCATGGCTGGGGAGGCCTCAGGAAAATTACAATCCTAGGGGAAGGTGAAGAGGAAGCAGGTACATCTTCATATGGCGGAGCACAGGAGAGAGCAAAGGGGAAGGTGATACACACTTTAAAATAACCAGATCTCGTGATAACTCACTCACTATCATGAGAACAGCAAGGGGGATGTCTACTCCCATGATCTAGTTACCTCCTCCAACATTGGGGATTACAGTTTGACTTGAGATTTGGACACAGACACAAATTTAAACCATATCACCATCTTTGACTTGCCTTCTTTTTCCTGATACCTTCGAAATCTTACTGATTCTTCCTTCAAAACTGCATCTATTTATGTTTTCCCACACTCACTATGTTCTCTCTAGCACAGACTCTGTAGTTAATTAAAAATAAATGGAAAGCACCTCATATTCTGGGCATTCTGTTGGGAATACAGCTGTGACTGTATTACCAGTGCTGCTAACAGCTAATAGTTAGCTTGGTGTTTGCCATGTCCCACGCACAATGTAAGTTTTCTGTACGTCAACTCATTTCATCCTCATTACAACCCTGTGAGGTAGGTTCAATTATAATACCCTTTTTATGGATGAAGAAACTGGAGCAAAGGGAGTTAAGTAATTTACTTACAGTCCTTCAACTAGTAAATGACAGAGCTAGGATTTGAGCCCAGGCAGTCTGGCTCTGGAGTCTGTACTCACTGTTTCTATTCTAGATATATGTCCTGTCTTTAGAGTTTGCAGTGTAGGAATATAGATAAGTTAGTCAGGCTGCTTCTAGATTTGTCTTATACCTACTTTTCTTATCCATGTACGTTCAATGCTAATATCAGCTTAATTTTTTGCAGAATAGCCTTTATTGTGTCACTCTCCTAGAACAAAATTTCACCTCTCTAGTCTGGAATTCAGAGTTCCAATCTCCTTCAGCTTGTTTTTCCAACAAGTTTCCATCTGCTGTACCTTACCCAAATCCCAGCCAGACAAGCCAACCCAACGATTCTTGTCCACATCCTGTTTGTTCCTCCAAGTCCAGAGTGATTCTTTTTCTCCCTCACCTTTCAGGTACTATTTGAAGTTCCATCTCCCCCGCTGGGTCTTGCCTGACCATCCAGCACACGGTTTTCTTTGGTACATCTTCCAGTCTACATTACTAATTTTATTTTTTCTTATTTTTTCAAGATGGGGGTTCTCGCTGCGTCAGCCAGGCCGGAGTGCAGTGGCACCATCATAGCTTGAGTTTGAGCATTACTGCAACCTCGAACTCCTGGGCTCAAGAGATCTTCCCACCTCGGCCTCTTAAGTAGTTGGGACTATAGGTACATACCACTGCACCTAGCTTTTTATTTTATATTTGTAGAGGTGGCGTCTTGCTTTGTTGTTGGGACTAGACTTGAACTCCTGGCTTGAAGCAATCCTCCCACCTTGGCCTTCCAAAGTGCTGGGATTATAGGCATGAGCTACTGTGCCTTGCCTTCTAATTTTACTTTTAATAACAAAATATTTCTGGGACCTATAGTTTACTTTTCATGTGGACATACCCTGTTTCCCCTAATAAAATTGGGAAGGATTAAACTTTTGTTTCCATATAGGATCATTCTAACAAATTTTGCTACTTGGGTGATATCTAATTGGAGCATATGTTTTGATTACCTTTCCTTCCATAACACCTCACTTTTCTCTCCTTCTCTTTTTCTGTCTTTTTGTGCTCCATCCTCAAGTCTAATGGGATGGGTATAAGGGTTGATGAGAAAAATTTTTTTAAAAAATTTCTGTTCTGCATTCTGCAGTAATTTATAATCTTGAAGGAGATGCCTATATTCTTTTGCTAGTTCTACTCTTTCCCTCCCAAACACTTTGTGCATAATTAGAGCAGTATCTTGTTTTTACCTGGTACAGAATATTTTATCCTACATTGATTTCATAATGAGGTCTTAAATTCACAACCTTTGCCAGACTACACTTATAAGTAATTATTTTTCTGTCTTATACTTTCAGCAAATCTTAATGTCCAATTAGTGGGGCTAGGATGCATTTTGCTGTCAACTCCTTTAAAAAAAAACCCAGTCATTTGGCCAATACCATCATCCCTTACTCTTGCTCTGCAGGGAGTGTTTGGTTCTGTCATAGCAAGAAAGGGATTTTGCACTTTCCTCCACAGGGTTTGTCTCCTTAGGAGATGATTTGAAAATCCCAAACTTCTCTAATGCTGGGGCATACATTTTGATCCTGGCTTGTTCTGTGAATAGAATGGAGGAAATTTCTTGCTCCTGATGCCAGATAGGGGAGGTTCCAATCAGAGATTACAATGGTGTTCTCTCATTCCCAAAGCTGAGTTTTGATGAGCTTTGAGTTTAAATAAAGTTATGACTTCAAATTTCAGCAAACTATATACCACTTTCATGGTCAATTTGTTCATTCCCTAATTCACATTCTCTTTGTATTTCTTTAGCTTCACTATTAATGTGGGAGGAATGGGTCTAATATCCCTGCCTCTAGAGTTAAATTGGCAAAATTTCAGTTTAAAAGGTTATGGGACCAAGAGGTTGAGAGAACAGACAGACTAGAATCAAACAGACGTGGGTCCAGATCTTTAACACTTTCTGAATATTCCAACCTGGATAAATTACTTGACTTCAGATTGCATATGTATAAAATGGAATTATATTCATCAACTGATTCAGTATTTGACATTGTGAAGGGCATTATTTCATTTCCTGAGTATATGATGATAGGGAAAAAGGAAAAACATTCCTGTCCTTGTAGAGCCCCACGTAATAGCTCCCTCACAGGGCATTGAGAATTAAGTGAAAAATAATAATTATAAATTTTAAGCAAAATGCTTGATTCTCAGCAGATAAGAGTTGTTATTCAATACCATGCTGTGTTGTTCTTGCCTGCATGGTACCCCAGCTTGACTTAGAGTAAGCACCCAGCAAACTTTGATTGAAGAACTTCATTCATGTGTGGTATGTGTACCTGTTTTTTTCATATGTGTCAGTAGTTTTAATACAATTTTGAAACAATCATGTATGTGTTGTTTCCCTGGTTGACATTTCAGCTTTCAAAGAGCAACATGACATTTTCTGGTTCCGCCTACAGGTACCATTGGCAGATACCACATGCTTAGAAGAACTTATAACCTTCTGTTGCTTAATTTTCAGCACAAATTGGATGATGTGGAACTTCTTATCTGATGTTTTCCTTAGAATAGCTGGGTTTTAGCAGTTGCACAATCCTTTGACATGGCATTTGAGGAATGTGACATGGTGAGATTCAAATGCTGAACGGTAGCACCTGTGTACATTCTCAAGCGATAGTTGCCTTTCCTAATTCTGAAAATCTAGCACTTAAATTTTTTATAAGAAACATCCCAAAGAACTTTTTCAGCAGAAGAAAGTTGTTTTTATAGCATAACAAAGATGACTTTGGAATTAGACTTGGTTTCCATTCTGGTTAGGTGACTCAGGCAATTTAATGAGGCTAAATCTCAGTTTCCACATATGTAAAATGGAATAACAATAATAACATTTTCACAGACCACTTGGGGTAAATGAGACACTGCATGTAAAGCAGTTAGCAGAGTACCTGGCACTTAATAATTGCTGAAAATGGTGGCTATTTTTCCTAATTGTTTAGTATTTTTTTTAAAAGTCAGACAACATATAAAAGCTAAAAAATATAAACCACTAAAAAATCTTATGCCTACGTGTTGTTTGTATATGCAAATTAATATTAGCTATTTTACTTTATTATTTTTTTTAGAGACAGGTTTTGCTATGTTGCCAAGCTGGCCTTGAACTCCTGGGCTTAGGTGATCCTCCCACCTTGGCCTCCCAAGTAACTGGGACTACAGCCACAGGCTGCCACACCCAGCTAAATTAACCTTAGTTTTATCTGAATTGTTCAGAATTGATATCTTGTATATTATTGTTCATATGTATCATCTTGAACCATGGAATGACAACAAATAGCAGAACTGTCAGGGTCATGTAGTTATACCTGCTAATTTCACATAGGAAGAAAACAGTCCCAAAATTTGATGGCTTCGTTGAGTGAAGACTTGGAGCAAACTTTCTAGTCTCATTGCTTTATAAGGCATCTGAAGAGATCACTTAGGGAGGTGGGGAAACGTGTGTGGGATGGGGCTTAGAGATTTGACTACTATCACTGCCTGTGTGTGTATATGAAAGAGGAAGGATGCCAATGAGAGTGCATGTGTGTGAGAGAAGTGTGATTGCACGCTTCTGTATGTGAGAGTGGATGCATGATGGGGTATGTGTGTAGCTCTGTTTGTAGTTTCCTAGATTTTTTGTAAACTTTTGATACTGACTAATTTCCTCCCTTTATTGGGTACTAAGAAGAAAATTTTCATTTCCAGTGAAGAGAGCTCTTGGGTTCCTAAATTATGCCAGAATTGTGAACAGTGAAAGGGAGAATAAGTCGACATTTTTTCGGGACTAGGTAGATGCTTGGTGACAATGAATGGGTTTGACATTATATAAGTAAAGCATGCTCTGTTATTCTTTCATGTGCTTTGATACTGTAGAATTTGGTGAAAATTCTTGCAGAGCTGGGTTAGTTGAATTCCTTTGACAACTATTACCTCCTAGCCAGAGTAAGTATTTATGTGGGCTACTTTCTTCCCAAAAAACACTTTTAAAAGCCAGGTATAAAACATAGTTGTGATTTTTTAAAAATACTACAATTTCTGAATTTTAAATCAATACAATGAGTTATTGCTTTACTAAGTAATCAATTTTGAAAATGATTAATTTGAAATCTAAGTATGAGAAAAATGGATTTAGACTTAGCTGATTGGGATTCATTCTTTCTTTAATGAAAGGCCAGTAAGGTCACTAGTCATTGGGAGTGGTAATCTCTTCTAATTTTATGCTATTTTGAATTGCTGGTGTAGCTTGATGAGGTTATTCATCTTTAGGACTTGTATTTTGACATTGATGCTATTAGTATAAACCAAAAAAATTGATATTATTTTCTGATGTTTATAAGTAATGGTTGATGATAGTGAGAAAACATTTGCCTCCCCTGATAAGTGGTATAATTCATGTATTTCTATTTTATTTCTTAGCTTGTTCGTTTTGGTTTAAGTAACCAGCTGGTGGTTGCTTTCAAAGAAGATAACACTGTTGCTTTCAAGCACTTGTTTTTGAAAGGATATTCTGGTATAGATGAAGATGACTACAGCTGCAGTGTATATACTCAAGAGGATGTCTATGAGAGCATTTTCTTTGCTATTAATCAGGCAAGTGTTTTGTTGTGAATGATCTATACTTTAACAATGTATTGATACTTGGCTTTGTCTTAACAAACAAACAAAAATTAAACATATGTTAAAATTTCCTATTGTAAGTTTTGCATAGTCTGCCAAAAAATGTATTTTGCTATTTCAGAAGCTATATTTTCATACAAAAGAGTTTGCCTATTTTGACTTTTTAAAAAAGATCTATCCTTTTAATTTATCACTTCATACCTACTGCTTTTGGAAAATTACCCCAGATCAAATAGCAAGAGTAGATTTTTAATCTCAGAAGACTTGATGAAAGCTTAACATAAAAATCAAAGATACCAAAACACCAAAAACATTGGCAACAAAAGCCAAAATAGACAAGTGGGACCTAATCAAACTCCACAGCTTCTGCATGAAACAGTCGTTAGAGTGAATCGGCATCCAACAGAATGGGAAAAAATTTTTGCAGCCTACCCATCTGACAAAGGGCTGATATCCAGAATTTACAAAGAACTAAAACAGATTTACAAGAAAAAAAAAAGCCCATTCAAAAGTGGGCAAAGGATATGAACAGACACTTTACAAAAGAAGACATACATGAGGCCAACAAATATATGAAAAAATGCTCATCATCACTGGTCATTAGAGAAATGCAAATCAAAACTACATTGAGATACCATCTCACGCCAGTTCAAATGGCGATCATTAAAAAATCTAGAGACAAATGCTGGAGAGGATGTGGAGAAATAGGAACACATTTACACTGTTGTTGGGAGTGTAAATTGGTTCAGCCATTGTGGAAGACAGTGTGGCGATTCTTTAAGGACCTAGAAATAGAAATTCCATTTGACCCAGCAATCCCATTACTGGGTATATATCCAAAGGATTATAAATCGTTCTACTATAAGGACACATGCACACGAATGTTCATTGCAGCACTGTTTACAATAGCAAAGACCTGGAACCAACCCAAATGCCCATCGATGATAGACTGGACAGGGAAAACATGGCACATATACACCATGGAATATTGATGAATTCGTGTCCTTTGTAGGGACATGGATGAACCAGGAAACCATCATTCTCAGCAAACTGACACAAGAGCAGAAAATCAAACACCGCATGTTCTCACTCATTGATGGGTGTTGAAAAGTGAGAACACACAGACACAGGGAGGGAAGCATCACACACTGGGGTCAGTTGAGGGGAAATGGGGGAGGGATAGTGGGGGGTGGGGAGTTGGGGAGCGATAGCATGGGGGAAAACACCAGATATAGGTGAAGGAGAGGAAGGCAGCAAATCACACTGTCATGTGTGTACCTATGCAACAATCTTGCATGCTCTTCACATGTATCCTAATACCTAAAATGCAATTTAAAAAAATAAAAATAAATTTTAAAAATCAAAGATTCTGGCCTTGATATGGTGGCTCATGCCTGTAATCCCAGCACTCTGGGAGGCTGAAGTGGGTTGATCCTTTGAGTGTAGGAATTTGAGACCAGTGTGGGCAACATTGTGAACCCCATCTCTACAAAAAAAAAAAAAATATATATATATATATATATATATATATGTATGTATGTATGTATGTATGTATATATCTCAGGGATTCTATGGTCTTAATTGTGATGTTTTAGCATTAGTAACCCTACCTGAATCTTAAGAATATGGAATATAAAATAGTTGTATCTAAACAGGTGTGAGAAAGCAGATTGGTAGACTTGAAGCAATAATTTAAGAAAGAGAAACCTTTCCTGTTCTTTTTCATTCATTCAATAAATATTCAAGTATCTAACATGTAGCAGGTGCTATTCCAGACATTGAGGATGCAGCAGTAAATAAAATGACAGAACACCTTCCTTTATAGAGCTTAATTCTAGAAGGAAGAACTGGACAAAAAGGAGTGGAATATGTAGTATCAAATGTTGGCTTCCTGAAAACACCATGCAAAAAACATGTTGATGAGCAAAGCTGAGCTTATTACTTAGAGTGGTAAGGGAGATGCTGTCTTGATCAGATGCCATATTGCCTTGGGTGAGGAGGGAGTTCTTCAATGCGAGGGGAGCTTGATTAGAATTAAGTAAGGATGATAATATAATAGCTTAGGACTGGTGGACATGGCAAAGTGAAGACTGGGGAGGCAGTTTCAAAGAATCTTGGAGTTGTTTTCAGACAAAATCTTCCAATTGATATATATTTCAATGAGTTTTTTGGATGTTCCTGAGATAATACAGGAACTCTTATGGTCCAGGGCAAAAGTTTTCTGGAATAGTAAAGTCATATTAATGAAGACAGGGCTACTAAAGCCCTATTAGTGCAGATAGCCAACGTAAAACCATGTTAATGTAAGCTCAGGTAAGCTAATATTTGTTCATGTTACTCAATGATGTAAGCTGTGGAGTGTGGATGGCTCATGTCCTCAGTAGATGTTAGAAAGTAATAACTGCTAAGGAGTAAAGCAGGGAAGGAGTGGGACGTGCCTGCGTGTGGTGATGGATATTTGTGATTTTCTTTATTTGTTTTTACTGCATTTATTGTATTTTAAATTGGCAGGGCATAATTATACACATTCTATAGTTATGGGGTACCATGTGATGTTTTGATATATGTTTGCAATTTTCCTTGGCTTGGGGAAGGAAGGCCTCATTGAGTTGCAGAATTGAGAGCTGAAGGAGTGATTAAACCAAGCAGGTGTGTACATGGGTCTCCAGGCAGAGGGAACAGCCAGAGCCAGCAGCGGAAATACGTGTGGGAACTCCAGGAACTGCCTGGAGGCCAGTGCGGCTTTGTGGGGTGGAGCCAAGGGACTGGAGTAGGAGATGGGACCACAGAGATAAGGCAGGACCTTGGCTTCGGTTTAGTGAGGTGGGAGCCGTCCATCACCGTGTTTACTTTCAAGTTCAGTGAGTCAGTGTCTTGCGGAACAGCCTGAGAAGAGTTCTTTGTAGTACTTTAAATTGGGAAGTTTTATTGAGGGCCGTGATGTAAACAATACAAAGTAGCTAAAAGTACATTCTATATGCTATAACCTCTGATCAAAGTTTTAAAAGGTCATATGTGGTTTTTATTTGACTATTTTTTAATAGTATTATCATCTAAAGGACATTGCTCTGGGGACCCTTGGTTATGGAGAAAATGAAGACAATAGAATCGGCTTAAAAGTCTGTAAGCAGTGTTACAAGAAAGAGAGCATGTTTCCTTCTAATGAGACACTGAATATTGACAACGACATAGAGCTCGGTAATGCAGTGATAATTTCATGATGTGCCTTTATCATCTTCTGGTAAGAGCAAAAATGCCCTCCTGTGCTAGCAACCCACATGGAACAACTTTGCTTTGATGAGAGCTAACGTGTTAGGGGCTGGCACTGTAACATTGGCCTGCAGAGGGCTTTGGCTCAGGAAACTGTGGGGTTGTGGCAATGGGACAGGACCAGCATTTGTGGATCTCTTTGGAGCAACTCAAGATTGTTTGTTTTGGGGTAAATGCATGGGTCCTGTTTTTTAGTTTGTTTGGTTTTTTTCCCTATGAGGGGGTGATTAGGCTTTTTGAAAAAAGGGTCTGTATGTGTTAAATGAAATAATATACGTAAAGATGCTTTGTACACTTGTTTTTATTATTTGTAAAATACAGAAATGCTCTTCAAAGGTGAATTGTGATTAATAACTCATTTTCTCTCATAGGAGATCCCTTGGCAACAGGTTAATGGCTAATCAAATTGAATTGTTTTGTGCTATTTTGTTAACAATTTAGAGCATACCGTATATAAATGTGAGGTGTTTGACTTAAGACTTTTAAACAGTATATAGTTTTATTATTTTATTGTTTTGTTATTCATTCAACAAACCTCTGGTGTGTAGTCATCATGTCCAGAGCACTCAGTTTTATTGCCGGGGTTGCAAATTAATCAGTTGTGGCTCCTCAAGTACCAACAGTTCAGCAGTAGGGGTTCTAACAGCAGTTTAAATTTGGAATGGTTTTATTAAAATTAGAGATTTACATTGATGAGTTCATTTGATTGTACTTCCTATAATCTGATCTTAAGGTGCCTTAATGACACAACAGGAGAGTACCCTATGAGACAAAGGTTTTAATTGTTTCTATAGGCTACCCACTCAGAATCTCTTGGTGAGTAAATGTGTCATGTGCTCTTGACTCTAAAAGAAGCAACCCATGAGCCGGCACCATCAAGGACACGTGTGGTATCTGGCTCCCATGGTGCTTTCAGAGAATATCCGGAGGAAAGTTGCCTGGTTCTGTAGCCAGCAACATTGAAATGTCACTTGTCACTTGTCTTATCTCCCTGGAAGCTGCTGCTAACCTGAGATCTATTTGGTAGTCCACCTACAGGGGCTAATCCTGTTTTAATCTTTTACCTGGGTGGTCAGCTGTGCTCCTCCCTGTAGGTGATTCCAGTCAGTAACTGTGACAGGAGGACTTGTTCTCTTACCCGCTGATTCAAGTAAGCCATCTATCCCTTGCCGTTTTAAAAACAGGTGACTCAAATTGGATATACCACACAGCAGTTTTGCAGTGATTCATACATTGTTTTTCTTGATTCATTTTTCTTGGAAAATTTATTAAAGAAATGTGGCCAAAGTCAATCTCAGTAGCTAGATAGCACTGGCAATGCTGGAAAGCAGGATTATTTCCTGACCATTGGACAGTCTTTTTCTTGTTCATTTCTCTCAGAATATGGAATATGTTTAACTAAATGGACAGAGGTTGGTTATTATTTGACTTTATTATTATTATTATTATTTTTGAGATGGAGTCTCACTCTGTCACCAAGCTGGAGTGCAATAGCACTATCCTGGCTCACTGCAACCTCCACCACCCAGGTTCAACAATTCTCCTGCCTTAGCCTCCCAAGTAGCTGGGACTACAGGCGTGCACCACCATACCCAGCTAATTTTAATATATATTTTTAAATTAGAGACAGGGTTTCACTATGTTGGCTGGGATGGTCTCAATCTCTTGACCTCATGATCCACGCTCTTTGGCCTCCCAGAGTGCTGGGATTACAGGCCTAAACCACCACACCCAGTCTAATTCGACTTTAAGAGAGATTGCTTAAATATGTTAATTGTATGCTTTGACTTATTAAATGTAACTTGTCAAAGAGAGTCTTTAGACGTATCTAAAAGGTATAATGAAGATTCTTCGAATACATGATACTGGATTTTAGGCTCTCTTTCCTTGGATACACTGAAGGAAGTCTGCAGATATAAATAGGATTGAGTTTGACGTCATTCATGTGGCACTCTAGTTGATGTAGGTGAATTAGCAGAAGCTGTTTCAGATTAACTACTCAAGAAATTTGCACTCTCTTTACTATTAAGGGAATCATCCTTCAGTGTTTTAAATGCAGATATCTACCTATATGCCCAGCTTTCCTGGTGGGCTTATATTTAACTGCACAACTGATTGTATAGATCAGATTAGTGTTTCCCTTAACTTATGCTAATGGGTATATCCCTCTAGAACTACAGCTTTCCAGGTCAGCCTCATTGGGAGGACTGTTATAAATCCTGTTAAAAATGTTTGTTTATTTGCTTTGCAACATTTGGGTAACTAACATTTTAATCTAGTGTTTCATTTTCTGTAATACAGTTTTTGAATGTCTTACATTCTTCTTTTCCACATGTTCTTAGCAGGAGACATTATGACCATTTCATCATTTTTCCTGCTGTTTTAAGAACAGCAGGAATTACCCCCCACCCAAAGGATTATTTATTTGACTGGAATATTCTATCAGATTCATATTCATTTGAATGATGAGGCTGTTACTGTAGATATCAGTTTATTCTGCTTGAAGTGTGATGTTTTACTTAGGGTTTTTGCTATCTTGAAAAAAAACCTCAAAACTCAGTTTTGTTGCCACGAGGTACTTGATGGCCTCAGTAGCAATAACTATAAGTGGAAGGTCAGCCAGACTTCAGAGAGTTCTGAATGAGTATTTAAACAAAGTATAATCCTATAATTGCAAAGTAATACAAAATTTGAACAATCAAATAGACTTTTATAAAGCAAATTTTACAAATAGTATAAAATTAACAGAATTCTGTCCAATTTCTGTGAATCTAAGATGCCAACTTTTTTAAAGACTCATGTGCTTTAGAGATGTTTAAAAGTGAGAAATGTTACATCTCAGAATAAATGAAATACAGGAGAAAAAGGCCTAGGACAGTGCGTGACATAGAGCTCTTGAACATGTTTCTTCTTTCAGAATGTAGTTGTCTACTCAGATCAGTTTTACTTTTTTTTTTTTACTTCACCTTAGAATAAGAATGTTAGAGGTAGGAGGACTTTAAATATCATCAGTTTGGCCTTTACAGTTGAGGAAACTGATGCTTAGTCAAGGTAAGCAACTAGGTCATGTAATGATTTGTTGACAATAGCTCTTGGCTACTGAAAGACCAGCAACATGGGCATCAGCTGGGAGCTTATGAGAAATGCAGAATCTCAGGGCCCACCCTAGAGCCACTGAATCTAAAAGTGCTTCTTAGCAGCAAGTTCCCCAAGTGGTTCACAGACATTAAATGTTTGAAGCACTGGTTCAGTGCTCTCCAACTAAAGAGCTTTGACTTCATGTAGAAGTCTTTTTTTTACTGACTTCATCCCATTCTCCACTGTTCATCACCACCTCCTGCCTTCAGTGCCTTCTGGATCCAGCTAAGCAACCTTTGTGCATCAATATCACATTACAAAAGCTGGCAGAATGCTTGCCTCTCCTCCCTTCTCACCTGGATCCACTCAATCACCATTAGTCCCCAGCCTCTTCTATCCCTGTGCCCAGCACCCTAGTAGCTGATGCTTACTGGAGAAGTGTGTCAGATCAGAACACTCTCATCTTCTTGCCACCATGTCTTCAAAGCTCCTTGCATAACTTCCTTCCACTTCTTTTTTGTCCTTGTGTTACAAAGGAGCACAGAGGTGAGGCCACAGTTAAAACCCCCACCAGAGCAGTGGGACCACTCCTTTCAGTTTTGGAGGAGTCATGCCTTTTCTCTAGAAATGTATACCCAATTTGCATCCCTAATCCAGACTTCCCTGAGCTCCATGCTCCTCATATATCCAACTGACTACCTGACAACTCCATGGTGTTGCCAAATAGGAATTTCAAAACCACTGTGTGTAAAAGAGAACATTTTAAACCTCCCCCATCTCCCTACCTACCCCGTGGCCCAACCTGTTTCTTTCTTAGACTTTCCAATTTTGAAAAATGATATCAACATTTTCATATCATATTGTAATAGTCCCAGTTATTCAAGCCCCATACTTGAAGTTGCCAGTTTCCCCGTTTCACTGCCGCCACTGTCATCCAAGCCACTACTTGCTTAGGTGGTGTCCCTGCTTCTGGTCTTGCCTCTACCAGCCCCTGCCCTGCCCTGCCCTGCAGAAACCACAGTGGTAAATCAGGTCATATGTCTTCCTGGCTTAAAAATCATTAGTGGCTTCCCATCCCATTTAGAATAAAATCCACAAGTCCTTATAGAAACTAGCCCATTGCCTGCCTCTCTAGGCCCTGTCTTCATTTCTCTGTTGTAGCATCATTTCTGTTTGTTGAGCAAGCCAGGCTCTTTCTTGCTTGGAGGGCTTAGTGCTTGATTTTTTTCCTATCTGGATCTATGTATAGCTGGTTCTTTTTCCTTTTAGGAAAAAGGTTTCAGTTCAAACATTTTTCGTACCTTGAGAGTCACTCCCTAACTATCTTTCCTAAGGTGGACTGTCCCTCTGTGTTAGTCTACTCTCACATTGCTAACAAAGACATACCCAAGACTGGGTAATTTATAAAAGAAAGAAGTTTAATTGACTCACAGTTCTGCATGGCTGGGAAGGTCTCAGGAAACTTAGAATCATGGTGGAAGGGGAGGCAAACACATCCTTCTTCATATGGTGGCAGGAAGGAGAAGCGCCAAACAAAGTGGGAAAAGCCCCTTATAAAACCTTCAGATCTCATGAGAACTCACCCATTATCACAAGGACAGCAGCATGGGGATAACTAGCCCCATAATTCAGTTACCTCCTCCTGGGTCCCTCCCATGACATGTTGACATGTGGGGATTATGGGAACTGCAAGGTGAGGTTTGGGTGGGGACACAGCCAACCCATATAACCCTCCTAGTTATTCTTGTTTATTTTATCTTCACAGTACTTCTCACACTGTGAAATTATCTTGTATATATCTTTACTTATTGTTATCTCCCCCACTAGAATGTGAGCTCCATGAAGATGGTGACCATGTCTGTCTTGTTCATTGCTTTACCTTCAGTGCCTAGCACAGTGCCTGGCTTTCAGCAAATATTTACTGAATAAATGAATGGGTTGGGTACAGAGCCTGTGTCTTTGATGTTCTTCTGAAATATGTGCTCAGAAGTCAGCCTCCTCAGTGCACTGGCAGAACTCAGGCTCTAGAGCCAAGCACAAGTAGATTTAACTTTTGGATAGCCAGTAGCTAGCTGTGTGACTGAGGAAGTTTCTTGGCCTCTCTGGGCCTTGGCTTGTGCCTTTGTGAAATGGCCGTAATAGTGCCTATCTCACAAGGTTTCTTTGAAGATTAAATGGGATAATGCATTAACTGAGAGAACAAAGTCCAGCACAGTGTCTGGTTTGGAGTTAAGTGCCCAATATGTTTTTGCCATTTTTATCATTAGTCTTTTCCTAAAAAAAGTTTCTTTTGACCAGCTGCCTTCACTGTACTAATTAAGGTCTAGTCAGGAAGGCCAACGTTCCCTGACACTAATACTCCATCTACGAAACACAGGGAGATATACTCTCTGCAACTATCTTTTAAAAATATGTCTGTTAAGTTGTCTGTTCAGCTCTGGGCCCTGTTTTTGGCTCAGGACATCTAATTTTCATTAAATATAAGTGTATCCCATGTATCAGGACATACATTGAGTGCCAGGTAGATGCCAGGCCATCGGTGTTTAACAAGGTACAACAAAATTGTGCTCTTAATCTCGGAGACTTCATACTTTAGTTGGAAAGAAGCAAATGAAGAGTTGCAGTTGTGGAATAACACTTTTAAATAATCAACCAATGAGTTTGCCAACATTCATGAACACCTACTAGATGCCAGGTACTGCATAAAGCCCCAGCTTTTCCATTTGAAAGTCAGCACGGAAGGGGTTGCAACAGCCTGGGTGAGGGCCACCCATGCTGGTTTCATACCAGTTGTATCACTAGGTCTCTATGGTCTTGGAAGGTACTTGTCTTTAGAGCTCCTTGTTTTATGCCCTGTAAAACAAGAGTGTTAGCCCACACAATAATGAGACTAATTTTTATGTGAGGTTCTTGGAATCATTTTTCTATCATTTACAGGTCATAATTTGTTTTTTACTTGAATGCAAGCTGTGTTCCTTTTCTTTCTCTTTATTTTTTACTTTGAAAAAGTGCCAGACTACCAGAAAAGTTACAAAATAGCGCAAAGATTTCTTGTATATGCTTCATCCAGATTTCTTCAATACTAACATTTTATCACATTTGCTTGATCATTCTTTCTGTGCATAAATATTTCTCCTGGGGGTGCAAACATGCTGTTCCTTTGCCTCTAAATACTTCAGTGTACATTTCCCCAAAACAAGAATATTCCCCCACACAACCACTATACAGTGCTCAAAACAATGAGTTAACATTGAGACAATACTATAATCGGCAAAGCCTATTCACATTTCATAAATTTAGCAGTTGTTCATAGTAAAATAAAAACTGCACCCAACTCCAGGATCCTACTCAGGATAACATCTGGCATTTAGTTGTCGTGTCTTTTCAGTCTAAAATTTCTTGGTTTTTATTGGTTTAACTTTTATGATCTTGATACATTTAAAGAGTAGAATGTCTCTCACATTGGGTTTTTCTGTTTCTTCATGACTAGATTGAGGTTATACCTTTTTTGGCAGGAATACCACCCAAGTGAAGTCATGTGATTCTCAGTTCATTGTATCACGAGGTACCTGTCTGTTTGTCTCATTACTGTGATATAACCTTGTTCACTTGGTTAGTGTGGTGTCTACCAGGTTCTCCACTGTGAGGTTACTATCATTCTTCCTGAATAATTGGTAAGTGTTTTCTGGGGAAATACTTTGAAACTCCCTAAGCAACCTGCTTCTTGTCACACTTTTGCCCACTACTTTTAGCACCTAATTCTTGCCTGAAACAATCATTTCTTGTTCTTTCATTGCCCTAGATTGTGTGCACTTAGACCTTCAGGCTCTCTCCAAGGACCCTCCGGACTGGAAGAACTCATCTTTCTTCATACTGGAATTTTATCGGTAAATACATTTTAAAGTGTTATTCCCAGAAGTGAGGGTGGGAGAAGGAGAATAGTATAGTACGATTATGACAATTTGTATCTTTGTATTTTATTCAGGCTCTTACAGGTTGAAATCTCCTTTCATCTTAAAGGCATTGACTTACAAACAATCCATTCCCGTGAGTTACCAGACTGTTATGTCTTCCAGAATACGGCAAGTATTTTAGTTTTACTCGCCACTTCCTTTTATTTTTCCCTACATATTTTGTTGATGCAGAATATAAAACATACCAGCCTACAGTGTGTTAAATGCAGTCATGTTTAAAATAGATATAGTGATACAATGTGGTACATTTTTTTTTTCTGAGGCATAGTCTCACTCTATCACTCAGGCAGGAGTGCAGTGGCGCAATTTCAGCTCACTGCCGTCTCTGCCTCCCAGATTCAAATGATTCTCATGCCTCAATCTCCCAAATAGGTGGTATTGCAGGCATGTGCCACCATGCCTGGCTAATTTTTTTGTATGTTTATTAATAGTGAAGACAAGACGGGGTTTTGCCATGTTGGCCAGGCTAGTCTCAAACTCCTGGCCTCAAATGATCCACCCTCCTTGGCCTCCCAAAATACTGGGATTACAGGCATGAGCCACCGTGTCCAGCCTCATTATGGTAGTGTTGATCCAGAGACTATTACTTCTAAAGATGAAGCAAGCCTTTTTCAACTTTTAAAAACCAAATTTCTACATTGAAAAGAAGAGTTTAAAAAATTGGCTTTGACTTTACTCTCCCAATACATTTTTAAAAAATATTTATGAAAGTGTTTTAAATGTTAGTGTTCTTCCAAGCTTTAGAGAAACGTCTTTGCAAATGTTGTAGGAAATTGTTTTCAAACCTTGAGGCATAAACTGCTCCACTGACAGGAAGACCAGTTTGCAAAGGAGCAGTTGTTTCACTTTTTATTTTGGTAGGGGGCATGTGTAGTGGAAGAGACAGTTCATGCGCTCTCTCCAGGCTGGAGTGCAGTGGTATGATCTCGGCTCACTGCAACCTCCGCCTCCTGGGTCGAAGCAATGTTCCTGCCTCAGCCACCTGAGCAGCTGGGATTATAGGTGTATGCTACCACACCTAGCTAATTTTTGTATTTTTAGTAGAGATGGGGTTTCACCATGTTGTCCAGGATGGTTTTGATATCTTGACCTCGTGATCCACCCACCTTGGCCTCCCAGAGTACTGGGATTACAGGTGTGAGCCACTGCACCCAACCAACAGTTCACATTTATGGGGAGAGTAAACTACCTTCTCATTATCATAGACTTTCTTTCTCTGTTTTTCTCTTATTTCCTGTTCATTAAGGGGCTAAACTGAATGCCTAGCTGAAAGTTGTATATACTGTCATTTAGCAATTCAGAAGAGTGTTTCATGCACCTATCAATAAATACTTAATGAGTCTCAACTATGCATCAGGCATTTTGCTATGCCCTAGAGGTACCCTCAGGAAAGCTTACAGCCTAGTGGTGGAAGAATAAAGACAAGTAAATGAAATAAAAGTAACTACAGATTGTGATATGTGCTAAGGAAGAATGTCTCCAGCTGCAAGCTCTCTGGAGTGGGTTGGCCAGAGGAGAACTGAGCATCTGCAGGGATGAGGAGAAAGGCAGGAGAGGAACATGGAGCTTGGTCTGCAAGGATGAGGTCATTGATGACTTTGTCATGACATGGTCAGAAGTGTGGGTTTTAAAATACTGGCTTTTCATTTTTATTTTGTTTTTTGGACTTCTATCTGCTTTGAGAAAAGCGTTTTAGGGGCTGTTCTTGAGAAAACAGAGACCTTGAGTGCCAGTGCTAGTGGAGGTTTAGTCACAACCTACAGATATAGAAATGAGGATGGTAGGTTGACAGGTTTAACTCTCAAATTTCTGGTTTGATTGTGTGATCTTCTTGGGCAAACTTGGCTTGTGTTCAGAGACCAGCAGGTGCATGTAGATTTGATCACCTATATATCTGGCTCTCCAAGCTCTGCCACTGAACTTCTGGGTTTTCTTAATGTGTTTACCCTAATAAATATTTGGCACATATCACTGATAAACTGTAAATATATTTTATTTATAGTTGATTTAAATGATTGATTTAAAATGATTGATTTAAATGTCATAAGGTAGAAGATTGAGTGCATATGGACATCTTAAGTTTAGCCTGCAGGCTTGGAGCAATCTTTGTTCTTTCTGAAAGCATTATATGTAGCTCTGGAAACAGAAAAATAAATTCTAGTCTAACAAAAACTAGAATTTCATAACCAAAGAACTAAATGGAAGGAAATGCTTTTAAATTCAATTCAGAATAATAAATGAGATCATTGTGTTCTTTCAAAGATTGGTGAATTTGGGTTTTTATTCCTGGGACTGGTTGTTTTGTTCTAGGATTTCTCTGAACCAGATATCTGAAATCCTGTATTTAGTAAAACTTCGCATATTAGCCCTTTCAATCACATTTGTTTAATTAATAACAGAGAGTTGTGAAGAAATCCTCTGATGTGAACATTTTCAGTGGTATAATTCTCTTTCTTGCCTTATTTTATGTGTTTATGTTCTTTAGCCTCTAATTGTCGTTGCGTTTGTTTTTTACAATTTTGACATAAGACCTTCATACTAGAGGACTGAGAGATTTATATAGCACCATTACAATACTGGGGTATTCTGAATTTGATTACAAATTTACCTCTACTGTTGAGTTTTATGCTTTCACATGTTTTTGTGATTCTAATTATTGTTCTTTTGTTTCCAGTTTTAGTGCTCCCTCAAGCATTTCTCGAAAGGCTAGTCATCTGGTGAAAATTTCCTCAGCTTTTGCTTGTCTGGAAAAGTCTTTATTTCTTCTTCATTTCTGAAGGATGGCGTTTCTGGATATAGTATTCTTGACTGACAGTTCTTGTCTTTTTTTTTTCTTTAAATCCTTTAAATATATTATCTCATTCTCTCCTGACCTGCCTGATTTCTGCTGAGAAATGTACTGATAGTCTAATGGAGATTCCATTATGTATGACTTGATATTTTTCTCTTGCACCTTTTAGAATTGTGTCTGTCTTTGACTTTTGATAGTTTGATTATAATGGAACTTAGAATCTTTTTGGGGTGAATCTAACTAGGGATCTTTGAGCTTCCTGGATCTGGATGTTCATATCTCTCCCAAGACTTGAGAAGTTTTCAGCTGGGTTATTTCAAAAGACCTGTCTTCAAGTTCAGATTTCTTTTTTTTTTTTTCTGAGACAGAGTCTCAATCTGTTGTCCAGGCTGAAGTGCAGTAGTGTGATCTCAGCTCACTGCAACCTCTGCCTCCTGGATTCATGTGATTATCATGCCTCAGCCTCCCCAGTAGCTGGGATTATAGGACCCTGCCACCGCACCCAGCTAATTTTGTATCTTCTATTAGAGATGGGGTTTCACTATGTTAGCCACGCTGGTCTCGAACTCCTGACCTCAAATGATCTGCCCACCTCGGACTTCCAAAGTGCTGGGATTACAGGTATAGCTACTGCATCCAGTCAAAAATTCTTTTTTCTTTGTTTGATGTAGTCTATTGTTGAAACTGTCAATTGTAATTTTTTATTTCACTCATTGAGTTCTTCAGCTCCAAGGTTTTTGTTTGGTTCTTTTTTATGCTATGTATCTCTGTTGAATTTCTTGATCAAATCATAAATTATTTTTCTGGTTTTATTGAATTGTTTTTCTGTATTCCATTATATCTCACTGAGCTTTCTTAAGATCATTATTTTGAATTTCTTTTCAGGCATTTAATGAATATCCTTTTTTTTAGGGCCTACTATTTTATTATTGTATTCCTTTGGGTGTTGTGTTTTCTTGCCATTTTGTGTTTCTTGTATCCCTACATTTGTTATCTATGCATCTAGTGAAATAGTTGTTCTTTCCAATTTTGTGGAATAGTTCTCATAGGAAAAGACTTTTTCCTGTAGATGGGCCCTAGGGTGTTGGTTGGGTATAGTGCATTGGCTTTTGTTCTGGGCAGACTCAGCAGTGTGGTGTCCATGCAGTTTGTTCAGTTGTAATCCTTGTCAGTGATGTCTGTGATTGGCTTGGTGGCCTAGGCTGAGAGAGTTTTTAACAACAATGGCATAGTTTTGCTGAAGACAGGGATGCCAGACTGGTTGTCAGGCTGGACATGTGCATACATGATAAGCAGCAGGTTGTGTGGCAGACTCTTCAACTGGGTGGGGGCAATTGCTGGTTGTCAGGCCAAGTGTGCATGGTTGTGGTGGGCCAATAGGCTGTGAGGCTGGCTCTTTAGAGATGTGAGGTCATTGCTAAACTGGCTGTCAGGCCTGTGGGGGTATGGAGAGGCAGCCAACTGTGTGGCACAAGTGTGCACAAACACCACACACCAGCCAGCTGTTTGGCAACTTCCTGCTGTGTAATTCTGCCTGTTCCCAGGGTCAGGAGCAAGAAGGGGTTCTGGATGGATTCAGATATCAGGGTCTCAGATGTTCCATTAGGTCTAGGCTCTGGGCAGCCAGGGTAATGGTGTTGCAGGCACCTGTGTAAACATGGTAGAATAATGGCAGGACTTCAGGGATGGAGAGAGACAGTAAGTACTGGCCCCGGGGCAGAACAGGGCAGATCTGTTTAGTGATATGGTTTCAAAATGGTGTCATGCCATAGCAGCTTAGGTCACAGAGGTGAGGAGTGCACAATGTGGGCTTCCACTCTGGGGCAGCATGGCTGCATGAACTCCCAGCACCTCTCCAAACTGGATTCAAAGCCTGTGAGGACTGGAGGGCTCCCCTGTAGCAAGGACTGCTGGCATTCTGTGGCAATAATGAGGACCACTGGGAGTCTCTAGCCTAACATTTTCCTATCCAAAGAGATCCCACCTGACTCTAAGCTGATCCTGGCTGGGGAGACAGTGTGGCAGAGGCAGGGTGCCTTGCTCCCCTTTCTATGTTGCTGCCCTAGGCTTCCATGCTCCACAGGATTTTGCTGCTATCCTGGTGCTTTCCAGTGTACTTCGTCAGTGATTTCAGTCAAAATATAGTTGTTTATTATTTTTTTCCTTTGTGTGTGTGTGGCGGGGGGTGCAGGAAATTAGTGTAAGGTAACTCTTGTCAGCCATTTTGCTGGCCTGTGTAATTCTCTTTGGATCAGCATACTGGATGCTGGGGATTTTTTTTTCAAAGCAGAGTTGATCTAACATGTTATGCTATCTTGTGTAACCTCTCTATACATTTGTGTCTCCAGATTATCTTTGACAATAAAGCTCACAGTGGCAAAATCAAAATCTATTTTGACAGTGATGCCAGAATTGAAGAATGTAAAGACTTGAACATATTTGGATCTAGTAAGTATGCTATTTACTTGCCCATGGGGATTATAGATGACTTTTAACACTTTATTTTGGGGGTTAGGGTATTTAGTTTGTTTGTGTGGGAATAGGAAGAAAACTGCATCTTGAGCATTAGATTCTGTAAAGAGTATCTTAAAACTTTTTATTTTTGTTTAATTCAGTAAATGTTTATTCTACACCACTTAGAAGAGGTAGCATGACTCAGTGGTTTGGAACAGCTCTGGAGCCAGAATGCCTGGGTTTCAGTTCCAGTTCCATTTACTGAGCCTGTGATCTTGGACAAATTACTTAACCTGTCAGTCTCAGTATCTTTCTGTGTAAAATGAGAGTAATAATAGTGCAGTTTGAGCATCCCAAATTAGAAAAATCTGAAACCAAAATGCTCTAAAATTTGAAACATTTGCGTACTAATATGACTGATGCTCAAAGGAAATGCTTATTGTAGCATTTTGGATTTTGAATTTTTGGATTTGGGATGCTCAACCAGTAAGTATAGTGCAAATATTCTAAAATCAAAAGAAATCTGAAATACTTGTGGTCCCAAACCATTCTGGATAGGGTACACTTAGCCTAAACTTACCTTCCAGGATATTATTGAATATTAAATGAATTAGTGTATAAAGCAAAGCATTGAACACAAGAGTTGGCATATATTAATTGCTAGGCATTATGGGAAAAGGAAGAAAATGCCTTAGTGAGGGTGACTGACATGCTTATGAAATCTGTGATGTGTTACAGAGAGAAGTAAGTGGTATATACACAAAAAGTATGAGGAGAAAGAAAGCAAAAGTTTGAGTGGGGCAGAGTGAGAAATAAAATCTAGAAATGATTCTTGGAGAAGGTATGCTTTGATCTGAGCCTTGGACAGTGAGGAAGGATCAGGGCCACCAGAGCCCAGAGAGCAACCACTGCAAATGCTAGGTCATTTACTCAGTCACTGCTTAGAAAACATCTCTTAATTCACATGTTTAAAATGGGCTGCCACTGAGCACGGTGGCTTACACCTGTAACCCTGGAACTCTGGGAGGCTGAGGCGGGTGGATCACTTGAGGTCAGGAGTTCAGGATCAGCCTGGTCAACATGATGAAACCCCATCTCTACTAAAAATACAAAACTTAGCCAGGCATGGTGGCACACACACCTGTAATCCCAGCTACCTGGGAGGCTGAGGCAGAACTGCTTGAACCTGGGAGGCGGAGACTGCAGTGAACTGAGATCACGCCACTGCACTTCAGCCTGGGGGACAGAGTTAGACTTTGTCTCAAAAATAAGTAAAATAGGCCAGGCACAGTGGCTCACTTCTGTAATCCCAGCACTTTGGGAGACTGAGACGGGTGGATCACATGAGGGAGGTCAGGAGTTTGAGAATAGCCTGGCCAATATGGTGAAACCTCATCTCTACTAAAAATACAAAAAATTAGCAGGGCATGGTAGCAGGTGCCTGTAATCCCAGCTACTTGGGATGCTGAGGCAGGAGAATCACTTGAACCCTGGAGGCCAAGGTTGCAGTGAGCCAAAATCACACCATTGTACTCCAGCCTGGGCAACAATAGTGAAACTCTGTCTCAAAATAAATAAATTAAAAAAATAAGTAAAATAAATAAATAAGCTATAATGGGCTACCTATGGAATCTGTTCTGTTTGCCCAGTAAACGATTGGGATGATGTAAATGATGGATGCTTAGTATTTTTTACTTTGAAGATTTTGTTCAAATGACTTTCCTTTCCTTTTGACCAGATTATCAGAATGAAATAAAATGTAAAATAACTATGGCTCCTGTTTTAGATTTGTTGTAAACTATATTTGATTTTTGGCCTGCTGCTTTTCAGTTGTATAATATGTCCTGATGATTTTGAAGTTTTGATTTCCATAATTTCACCGACTGACTTAAGCCTCCGATTACAGTTTTGGTTTCTGTTAAAAAGTGGTTACTATTCCCCGGCATACACCACTTTCTTACAGACACACAGAGATCAGGGGCATATTTTCCAAGTCCAAGTAGAGGCTGCAATTTTCTGTGAAAAGAAACTAACCCTTGTCAAATATGTGATTTAGAATATCATTATAAAGGTCAGAATGTTGGAAATTTCCAAGCTAGTCAGTCAAATGCATTTCCAGAACAGTGAGTGTTTCCTTCTGCCTGCGGGGCTCTTGCAACAAGGGGTTTTCCTTGCCTGTGCTCAGTAGAAAGTATCTCTGGCCCCCTCCTGTGGCCAATGTGGAGAAACACAGGCCTCCTAGACCACTGGGATTTACATACTCTCCTAGAGGTGTGTCTTAAGAAACCAGGTTCTATCACTAGGAGAATGTGAATTTAAAATAAAAATGATGTGATGTGAAAGCCTTAAAAAATGGATGTTTAGAAACCATCTTAGGAAATGGACTTTCCCCGCTATGTGAAGCTGTCTGTTGGATTGAGATTGCCTTGGCTTTGGGGGACGTGGACAAGGACAAGGGTGACATCCGTTGGGACCCTTACACTATTTCTAAAAGTTCAGAGACTCATTCACACCTACATGCTTACCCCAGGCTCCTCTCTCCCTCCTTTGTCTTTACCCATATTGAAGCAAAGTGTGTAGGTGAATGTCCATGTTCTCTTTCTTTTCTTTTCTTTCTTCTTTCTTTCGTTCTTTCTTTCTCTCTCTCTTTCCTTCCTTCCTTCCTTCTTTTTTTTCCTTCTCTCTCTCTCTTTCTTTCTCTCTTTCCCTCCCTCCCTTCCTCCCTTCCTTCTTTCCTGATGGAGTCTTACTTTGTCCCCCAGGCTGGAGTGCAGTGTTGCAATCTCAGCTCACTGCAACCTCAGCCTTCCAGGTTCAAGCGATTCTCCTGCCTCAGCCTCCCAAGTAGCTGGATTACAGGCACGCGTCACTAAGCCTGGCTAATTTTTTTTTTTTTTTTTTAAGTAGAGAGGGGCTTTCACTATGTTGGCCAGGCTGGTCTTGAACTCCTGACCTCATAATCTGCCCACCTTGGCCTCCCAAAGTGCTGGAATTACAGATGTGAGCCACCACACCCAGCCTGAATGTCCATTTTCACATACAAACCTCATGCTGCCTTTTGTGACTCCCAAGTCCCCTCTCCAGATGTGCCATGTCTTTATTTAACTTGGTTTCATAAATATAGCAGTTTGGAGATGAGGGACTTGGAGAGGAATTAGTGGGATTCCTCCTTGGCGGGATTCCCCCTCGATGGGTGATATAGATATTATTACAAGGAAAGGGTTTTAGTAAGTTTGGGAAACCCTGGGCTAGAGTCCACAGACAGGCTAGTGGTGGTGCATGTAGGACTTTTCAGGGCCTCACAGGGGCTCAGTGGTCTGTGGGACTTCCCTAAAAATGTTGGCAGGGGCATCTTTCTGGACTATTGTATTATAAACCCAAGTTTGGAAATGTTCCTATGAGGTAACTTGGTTTCAATAGATCAAGAAAGCAATTGAGATGTTCATAAAGTACCTATTTTTTAGCATACCAAACTAGTCTTCTCAGTAATTCAAAGAAAAACAGACTCCTATACTGGATTCTGTTAGGAAGGCTGGTTTCTGTTTCTAAGCCTGTTTGTTTTCCCATCTGTGAACAAGGTCCAATACAAGCTGTCTTCGAGATTTGCGTTCTAGTTTTGTGTCAGAAAGGAAGGTACTAGATGCTGTCCTTGTATTTCGTAAGATTTTCAGTCTTATCTTCTCAAGAGCTGCCTCTGTATCCTCTGCCCCATTCCATGGATCCAAGAAAAAAGAAAGAATTTTGCATTATGATAGAGCTAAGTTGTTTTCTTAGCCACCATTAGGTGACACCTCAAGATAACTCTCCTGAGTGTAAAATGGCTAAAGGTAAATATAAATAACTGGGCGCTGTTCTAACACGCACTTCACATGGGCTGTTCCACCTGGTTCTCATGACAGCCCCAGAAACGAGTACACTTGTCCTCCCCGTTTTGTAGCTGGGACATCTGAAGCTTAGTAAGCTGAAGTCATTTGCTCAGAGAGTTGCATTTACCAGCTGGCTGTCTCTGCTCGCCACCCACTGTAGCAGCTGCTTTGCCCTCAGACACTCATGCCAGTGTCACTCACATCTTTGCATTATTAAATCCAAAGCATGTCTCCTCAATGCCGTCTCTGCAGAGGTGTTGCTGTGGGGGACTTCAGCTGCAGCCTCTCCTCTGAAGGCCGCCTGTCCCTGCTTCTGTTTGCTTTTCTGGCCCTTCTGCTCCATCTCATTCCTGAGCTCATCTCCTTTTCTAATTCTCAAGCATCACTCCCCATCCCCCACTCCTGTCCTTCCCAGTGGTCTCTCTGATAGGACATCACACCCATGGCTTTAACTGCCACCGAATAGTCCTCTCTTGTCTTGAATATCCAGAATGAACTCGGTTTACTAAAGACAGGAAACCAGGAATCCTTCTTGTTCTTCCTTATTCCCCAGATCCAGCTAGAGACCAGGCCGTGACTCTCTCCATCTCTTGCGATTCTGTGCCTTCTCCTTTCGCTCTGCCCCAACTTAGCTCAGACCATCGTAAGTTCTAACTTAGATTATACAGTGGTCTTATGTGCCGCTCGATTCTCTTCATTTATTTGTAAGTATGCTGAAGCATTATGCTAAGCACAGGTTCCATATTTTGTTCAACACCACTGTCTTAGTCTGTTTTCTGTTACTTATAACAGAATGCCTGAAACTGGCTGATTTATAAAGAAAAGAAATGCATTTCTTTCAGTTCTGGAACCTAAGAAGTCTGAGGTTGGAGGACCACTTCTGATGAGGATCTTCTTCATGTTTGGGACTCTCTGTGGAGTCGCAAGGCAGTGCAGGGCATCACATGGTGGGTGGGTGACAGGGTGGTGAGCTTACTAGTTCAAGTCTCTTCCTCCTCTCCTTTCTTGATAACCCATTAATCGATAGGTGGATTAATCCATTTATGAGGGCAGAGACCTCGTGGCCCAATCACCTCTTAAAGGCCCTCCCTCTCAAAATTGTCACATTGGGGATTAAATTTCAACAAGAGTTTTGGAGGAGACAAATAACTCAAACCATAGCAACTACTTATGGGCCATGCTTTACAGAGCCAATCACTTGGTATGGAAGATGGACACTGAATGATGAAATAGTAACCACTGTAGGTGTCTGCTATTGTTATTTTCCTGAGGCTGTTTTATGGGGTCTTTTCATAGGAACTTGCATAATTTTCACAATAGCCCCGTGATGTAGGTATTTTTTAATTCTACCCACTTTTCAGAGGAGGAAACTGTGGCACAGGGGTTAAGCAACTTCCTCAAGGTTCTACAGCTTCTGAGTGAAGAGCTGAGATTCAGAACCAGGCTGTTGGGCTCCAGAGACTGTGTTCTTTCTCATTCTACACTGTCTCTGTGTGCGTGCTGGGCTGCCTTTGCACTTGTGAGTACAAGGTCAGTGTCTGTTGTGCAGAAGAAAGTAAAGAAACTCTGGGTGTGTGTAGTAACTGAGAACCATGAAAGCATATAGGAGGGGGCTAAGAGAGATGAGAATTTAAGGAATTCTGTTCTCAGATGGGAGATTTTTCATTTGGAACTTGAGGCTAAAAATAAATAATCTGAACCGTGTGTGTGGGAGAAGTGCTGTTCCAGGCAGATGGACCAGCATGTGCAAAGTCCCCGAGGCGAGAGCAGGAAAGAAGGAAGACCAGTGTGGCTGCAGGGTGGAGAAGGTGGGGGCCAGGCAGGAGAGAGCCGGACTGGGATCTGAGACACTATCATGAAGTCTGAGAGAAACGAAGGTTAGTTTCATCTTCCTCCTGTACATTCCCCTTGCTGCTGTGTGCGCCAAACCAAAAATCTGATTACCACTCACCTCCTTGCTTCCATGTCAAGAAGCAATTTTCTCTACGCACAGAGAAGGCTGTAGAATCGCCTCTATGTCCTGGGAAAGTGCACAGTGAGATTGAGAAGCAGAAGTGGGGATTCTGAGTGGTGCTGTTTTAATTTGTTTGTTCTCTTATTAATGGTGACCTTGATGTCTCTGCTTTTATGTGAAAGAATTCAGAGTATGTCAGAAATTTTTCCTTTAAAAAAATGGAGCCCAAATGGCTCACTTTTTGTTGAATACTATTCTCAGTAAATGTTTATATATAAATTTGAGTGCATTTATTAGCAGTTCACGTGTTTTAAAATGTAGAGCTTTATATCAGGGAATGTTTTGCCTTATATATGTACATCTGAATGAATGCAGTGTGATTTTTTTCTCATATTTACCATTTTGTTCTAACAGTAGGCAAAACATTTATCATTTGAACTTCTTTTCACACTTCCATTTTGTTTGGCAATTATTTTCCTGTAAGGTGTGTTTAACATTTGAATTCTGTTTTTATTCCTCAGCTCAGAAAAATGCTCAGTATGTCCTGGCGTTTGATGCATTTGTCATTGTGATTTGCTTGGCATCTCTTATTCTGTGTACAAGATCCATTGTTCTTGCTCTAAGGTTACGGAAGGTAAGAGTATGTTTACCTTCTCTTCCTGCCCTCTTGGCTCACACCCTCAGTTTGCCCAAGCAGCGGACCACCAATGCTGTGCCACCTGCCTCTTTTGGAGCCTTTTGACTAAATTAGATTCCTCTGAGTAGTTGCCCCTATGAGGCATTCGTCAGCCTGAGGTGTAGGAAGTGAGTAAAGGCTCTGAGTGTGTCAGGTGGGATCAGATAATTATCCTGCTTAAAACTGAGCTGATAAGTACAGATGCACAGTGGTGAACTCTCAGGCTTTTGAATGTTTCCAGAATAACAAGGTCCTCTTCAATTTAGGAGTGATCTGAAGAACAGAGTAATAGCATGTGTGGGTTTCATCTTTTGTCTTCAAATCAGAGTTCATTTTGACAGAGAGGCATGGTAAATGGAGTATAATGAAGCATAAAATACTTTATTTTGTGTTTAAAATAGTTTTAAAATTCTCCTCTGAGTTTCATTTTGCCTTTTTACCCTCAGGGCTCTTAGGAATGTATACTTCTGCTCCCCACACGTCTTATTCTGGCTTGTGGCATGTGTGCAAATGCACACTGGGGTCAGGGGAGATCGGAAGTCCACAGAGTACCATTTGGGGAGCAGGGACGTAGTCTGCATTTGATTTTGCATAATCCTGACCTTTGTCAATGTCCTTTGTAAATATCCACCTCTCTTCAATGCTCCCTGATCACCTTGATGTTCTGAATGCAGAGTTAAGGTCCTGTCCCTGCCAAGGTGGAGGGGGCTTATATTCAGAGCACACACTCTGGAGCTGGCCTGCCTGGACTTGGATCCTGGCTTAGCCTCTTGGTGCCTCAGTTCCCTCCTCCGGATGATAGACCTGCCAGAATCTGGTTTATTGGGTTGTCATTGGAATGAACATGTTGATAATATGAAGAGTATTTGGAACGTACTGTGTTCTAGTTATGACAGGAGCCTGCTGGAGTTACAGCATATGTAGTTCATGTTTGAGGGAACTTCACAGACAATTGAATGGTTACTCAGTTTACGGGGGAACGTATGTGCTGTAACTTCCACCTTTGAGGTGGATCTGACGAGTTGGAAACGCAATACCATGTCCTTTTACAGGAGAGAGTACTGTTTTGCACTTGCCAGAGGGCAGTGTGGTTTGTAAGAAATGCTTCTTTAAATGTTTGCCATAGAGATTTCTAAATTTCTTCCTGGAGAAGTACAAGCGGCGTGTGTGTGACGCGGACCAGTGGGAGTTCATCAACGGCTGGTACGTCCTGGTGATTATCAGCGACCTAATGACAATCACTGGCTCCATATTAAAAATGGAAATCAAAGCGAAGGTGAGGGAAGCCCATTTAAAGTCTTATTTTCTTCATCTTCTCCCAGATGGCCACAGGCATCTTAAGACGTCCGATCCTTTGGAGACCACTTGATTCTCGTGTCTTCCCTTTTCTCACAGCAGCGCAAGTGAGGCCTCTCCTGGCCTGGTTCCTCGTGAAGGGAAAGTAGGAAACTGTGGAACAAAAGTTGGCGACAGCTCCAGAATAGTGACTAAACTGGAGAACACTGGTTATTTGGGCCTCATATTTCTTTTTAAGTTGCAAAAGGAGCAGCTTACCCTTAAACCAGTCCCTTCCCTGAACCTGCATGCCAAGAGCCTGCAGGGAGGATTTGTGACCATTGGGTGCTCCGACGGATGGGGTGAGGGCAGGAATGTCAGCATGGCTGCTACAGCCTGGCCCTTTGTACAACTTAGTTGATTTGATCTCCTAACTAAGCCTCGACGACTCCTTCACCGCACTGTTTTTGGGTCCACTCTCTGTTGTTTGCCAGAGGGCCCACCAGCCTTAACTCCTAACCCTAAGACACCCACTCCGCCCCAACCCGGCTCCCTCTGGCTTTCTTCAGGCCTCTTCCTCTTTGGCCAACTGTGACCGCAGCCTCCTCAACCGCTTTCCCATCTTCCGTTTCATATCCCTGAGATCCGTTGACACAGGGACTTTTCTGGAAGTGTCTATCTGGCTGTTAACATTCTTTCTACCTCTTAGGGCCTGCTTCGGGATGAAGCAGACTCCCTCAGCATGGCCCCTGGGGTCATCACCATCCAGCTCTGCCTCCCGCTCCTGCCTCTGCTCTAACCCTGTCCCTCTAGGAGGTCTTGTCAGCATTGTGCCGTTGTTCAGCCTTTGTCCATTGACCTGTGACGCTTCTTCCCAAGCTGTCCTGCAGGCCCATCTTTGCTCTGGGGTGGAGTCTGTGGCAGTCCCTCTGTGACGGGCTAGGCATTGTGTCTTTCACTGCATTTAGCATATTATATGAGAATCAGGTTTGTGTTTTGTCTTTTCAGCTAGCCCTAGATTTTCCTGAGAGCAGGAGCTGTGTTAGCAAATCATGTTGGAATTTTCTTTCAAAAGCAGCTGAATTGTATTATCTGATACTTAACAAACACCATTAATTTATGTCCTCGAATGCCTAGGTCAGTGATAAACGCAATTTCTATTTCAGAGTATTATTTGGAAAAAAAATTTAGTTAAACTAATCTAAATACTAAAAGAACATGAGAAACACATTTGGAATTATATTCTGTTTTTCTTCTTTTCTTTAAAGAACTCTTACTATCACCTATAGGGAGGCAGATAGTTCCTTTTTATAAATTGGTTTAAAGTAAGGTTAATAAGCTAAGTGGAATCAAATATTTTACTCATTTGTCTCTTTTTCTTGTTTATTTATTCATGTATCTTTTCATTCCTTAGAATCTCACAAACTATGATCTGTGCAGCATTTTGCTTGGAACCTCTACGCTCTTTGTTTGGGTTGGAGTCATCAGATACCTGGGTTATTTCCAGGCGTATAATGTAAGGACGTGGCGCTGGGCAGTGACACTGCACTTGAGACTCGTTTATTTGTTGGGATCTGATAGCTACTTTTCCATTTCATCCATCCCGTTAATCCTTTTTTTTTCAGGTGCTGATTTTAACAATGCAGGCCTCACTGCCAAAAGTTCTTCGGTTTTGTGCTTGTGCCGGCATGATTTATCTGGGTTACACATTCTGTGGCTGGATTGTCTTAGGACCATACCACGACAAGGTATGTAGCACAAACTCTTCCTTCTGCACCTGGGCACGTGGGACTCTTGATCATGGGTTTCTAGCACTTACTGGCTTCATAATCTTCTCTATCACGTACCCTTGATGTCAGTAAGCACATATCTTTTTATCGTTTTTTTTTTTTTTTTTTCTTTTCAGGATATAGAAGTGACTATAGGATATTGAACCAAGAACTGTACAAGACAAGAAAGCATGGATTATAGTTGTCTGGGGCTGGCTTAAGGGGTCACATAGTTACCAAGTGATCATCAACTGGGAAATGTTTGGAGATGAGATCACTATATTAAAAATGAAAATTAAGTGAGGAAAAAATTCCTATTAAAAATTTCCAATTTAATGTATTATGTTTTTCATCCAAGATAATTGAGAAGAATGAAGATGGGCAGAGAAGAACCATAGTAGGTTTATGATAGAAATGGTGACATGTCTTGTCTCTGCAGATGGTTTTGGTTACAGCATCATCTTTGTACCTTATTAAAGATCAGCATCTGAATTCTAGACTATTACCAAACTTCGGTTAGCATTATAATCTCAGGGACAGCAAAGTTATGCTAAGATGTTCTTGTTATAAAATGATACGTTTGATTGGTAGATACATCAGGAAATGAAACTAGGTAAGCCTTGTTTTTAACCCAAAAAAGTAAAAGGAGTTATTTCATCTTATGGTTTTTCCTCCATGGGCCTGTGGCAGTTGGAACGATAGAAACAACAAAACTAGCATCAGCTAACACTTACTGCTTGTGTGTTAGACACTCTGTTGGGCTTTTCTGTTTTCTTTCTTACTTACTCCCCACAACAGCCTAGGTACTGTTTTCCTCACTTAGATGCTCTGCAAGGAGAAAAGAGGTTAAAAGTGGCAAGTATTGCTTCCAAGTTTGTATACCAGTGCAGCCTTAAGTTTTGACCTTGTTAGTACCATTAGCCAAAGAACATATGATCAAATCTGGTTTACAAACTGTTAACAAAGAGTAATCTATACATTAATCTTAAACCTTTAAGATTAATGAACAGTGGTTTAAGATTAATGTATAGCTTACTCTTTGTTATTATTCTGATAGATGTCCTATCAGAATAATGCTAGGTAACCTGGCACAGTCTGACTTTCTCGTTTTCAAGCGTCACATTTAATATGTCTAGAGAGAATTATTGTTTCTCCTATTTGAGATATTATATAATTAACAAAGTGACAACCTCTGGGTTAGTAGTAAATCTAGGTAATATTATTGCTCTTCAAATTCCATGTCACTGTTTTAAAGGTGACTCATGAGAAAAAATTATTCTTTGCTATGATATTTCTGATTTGGAGAACTTACTGTCAGAGCCTGGAAAAACGTATTTTTCTTCCTTACTTGCCTCATGCTCTGAAAGCTTTTCCACCTCTTTGTCACTAGAGGGCAGTGTTGCACTGTGTGGAATAAAATACTGTGCCTGAGGATTTGGCTTTAATTCACTGACCCGGTCTCTGGACGAGTGGTCCCATCTCCTTTGCACCCCACCCCCATCTGCCCTACCTCATCATTATTCTGGAAGGTGCTCAGATAAGGTTGCTTGAATTTTACTAGATGGCTGCCATTCTCAAATGCTGTCTGTTAGGCATGGTGCCCAGGATTCTTCCTCTCCCTTGCTGTGTTAACCCTTCCCTCCCCTTCTCTGTGAGGAAATCTGATGATCCTTTCACAGAAAATAGGCACCTTAATATATTAAATAATATTCCTGAGATTACCCAGCTAGAAAACGGCAGAGATGGGATTCAAACCCAAGTCAGCCTGACTCCAGTACCTGTGCTTTGACCCATACTCTGTAAGGCTTTTCTTGGTATTATCTAAAACAGATCATTGCAGGAGAGCATTTAGTCTGACAAGAAACAGGCTTGTACTTGGAGATCAAGCATGATTGGACAGCCATGTAGTCAGTCTCATTCTCTCAATAATGTCAAGGTCACGTCGTGGAAAATGAGGTTACTTGTTTTGTGAGCCTGACTGCATTTCCATATGTTCAATTTTGTCCTTTCAAAGGATTCAGGTGAAATTGGGATCTTCTGAACCAGCACTGTCCAAGAAAAATGCAATTTGGGCTATAACTGAGAGCCTTGCCTATACCATAAAATTTTCTAGTATCCACATTAAGAAATAAAAAACTGATGAAATTAATTTCAGTGATGTATTTTAAACCTGATATACCTAAAACATTTCAGCATGTATTCATTATAAAATATTGAAATATTTTACTTTCCTTCATACTAGTCTTTTTGATCTAGTGAATATTTTATCCTCACAGCACATCTCAATTTGGACTAGCTACCTATTGGATGCTGGCTAGCCAAACGTGGCTGGTGACTACCATTATGGACATTGCAGCTCTAGACTTACGTCTGTCACTTAATATCAGCTTTCCCTTTACCCGCCTCCGCAGAGGAGTGGAGGATTAGGGGATGTCTGTAGGGTTGCCCGTAGGTCTGTTTACGGCATCTCTCACCAGGCTGATATGTTGGGGAAATGCACAGTTGAGTTAATTCACTGAATGTACAAGTCAGGGGAGAAAAAGAAAACGTTAGTCTGGTTTTGGAATTTTGTGTTTTTCTTCTCCATATTGCTGACTCTTTGAATCTGAAGTTAGAGTATTTTATTGCCCCTTGCATCCTTACCCCCAAATTAATCTAAGCTGTCAGCATGTTCAGGCTCTGCCAGTGTCTGAGTCAGAGGACTTTTAGGATTACCTGAAGCCTTGAAACGCTGAGCGTTCCAAGCAGGCATTTTTGTAGGATTTTTAGAATCACAGCAATCTTGATTGTGAAAGCTAATTCTTTCTTTAAAACAAAACAGCTAAAAAGAGACATCAGGAAAACTGTAATTCTATACTACTGTTTGACTGATAGCTGGAGTCTCATAACACTTCAGCTTCCTGTCTTCCTGTTAGGCATCTGATTTCAGGGGCTCAACGGTAAGCGAGTCAAGATACAAAAAGTATCCTACTGATGTGTGTTCCCAGCACTAATGGACTTTGGCACAATGCCCTCTCAAAATGTCTGGACACCAAGGGCAAGGAACAGACTGTTAATGTTCTTCCAAACCAAATCTTGAATTATTAAACATTACTCGAATGTGGCTTTTACATTTCCAGAGGACTTTTTTGGTCTATGAGGAATAACTCATAGCCTTGGTTTGTCCCCATTTTACAAATGAGAAGACCAAGGCTTGAAAAACTGTTGAACTTTGCTGAGGCCATGGGTCAAAGTTCAGCAGACTCTGCATTACGTTTTCCTCCTTCCAAGGCCTCTGGTTTTAGCCAAGTACCTCTCATTTAAAAGAACCATTAGCCAGCTAAAACATTTTGCCTAAAGTTTGCGTGAGATTCTTGGCATCAGCTCTTAAAGCAGATATTTATGTCATTCTCTGACCTAAGCCATTGCAGGTTATGTTTTCATTGAAATGAAATGTTTTTGGCCCAACTGCAAAATTACCATTTGTGAAATGAGTGGTTGGGTTCTTGCTGTGGTCCCAGAGAACCTATGGGGGCTGTTTAAGGAAATAGCCATTTAATAAGTATTAAATGTCTACTGTGCGCCCAACATTGCTAGGTTCTTGTAGACCAAGTTCTTGGAGGGCAGGAACTATGGCTTGTTTCTCTTTACGTTCCCAGTCTCCAGCTTAGTACATAGACCATGGCAGGTGCCCAACAAGTTTGTTGAACAAACAAAAAGCAATGAGAGAGAGAGAGAGAGAGAGAGAGAGAGAGAGAGAGAGAGACAGAGAGAGAGAGAGAGAGAGAGAGAGAGAGAGACAGAGAGAGAGAGAGAGAGTGTGTGTGTGTGTGTGTGTGTGTGTGTGTGTGTGTATGTGTGTGTGTGTGTGTGTATGTAATACCTGCTTTCCAGGGGCTGTGATCTCTCAAAAACCAAAGGAATGCCCTACAAATGTGGTCCTTCTAGACTGGATGCACATTAGGACCTTGAGTATTTTTAAGCTCAATTCTACTATGGCATTTGGCCACTGAAATAGACTCTGGTTCACAGCCACTTCTTGTACAAAATGGCAGGGTGTTACCAAACACCTAAAATTAACTGGGTCTCTGTTTTAACTCTTTGGTGTGTTAAAATAATTCTCACATTTACAAGAGGAGGTGGAGGTAAAATGGTTATGAATAATGTTAACATTGAGACAGATATTGTGTCTAGCCTGATAAGTAACTAAACAGAAAATTAAGAAATGAATATGACATGTACTGACCAACTAGCTATTTGCAGTTGAAACCTGAAGCACAGACAGTTGTGCTTGGAGTTCTTGCAGATAGAGAAAGGAGTTGACTGGATTCCAAAAGAAACTGAGAAATATGAATTATTAATGGTGCTGTCAGAGTTGTAATTGACATCCATAGAAACCTACTTTAGTGTCAGTGTTTTAAGCTTTAACTTCAATGTTTCAAGGCTAGTGTAGGGTATGGAAAATATTTACTCTGGCAACCCCCGTTTTACTGTTAAATAATCTACATATTGTTAAGTGATTTGTTCAACTGGATATTTTCTCTAGGTCTTTATGGAGAAGTACTTGAGTGCCTCAGAGTTTTTGCTGATGCAGCAAAGCCGTGAGTGGGATCCTTGTTTGGGGTGCATTTGTGGATCCTCTCCCTTGGCCACCAATTTGGCTTGCCTGGTCCAACCACATGGCTTGGCTGGTAGTGTAAGGCATGATATTTGTATCTAGTTGCAGGACAGGGAAGTGTGCGTAAAAATAATTAGAAGACCATCCGTAGTTCATTCTGTGATTCTTACCGATACGGAGTTCAGAGAAAGGACTGGAGGTGCCAGGGCACTCTGTCTTGAAGTACACTCTGAATTAATTCTTGAGCATTGGCTTAACTGGACACAGAGAAGAGAAGGATGCAGCAGGTGAGGAGAATAAATTCCATGAGGGAAAAGTGTCGGGATGGGCCTGGTGTTGGAGGAGGTAAGCACAGTGTGTTAACATTGACAAGGAGGAGGCCGGGCACGGTGGCTCATTCCTGTAATCCCAGCACTTTGGGAGGCCGAGGCAGGCAGACCACAAGGTCAGGAGTTCGAGACCAACCTGGCCAAGATAGTGAAACCCTGTCTCTACTAAAAATACAAAAATTAGCTGGGTGTGGTGGCATGCACCTGCAGTGCCAGCTACTGAGAAGGCTGAGGCAGGAGAATCACTTGAACCTCGGAGGCAGAGGTTGCAGTGAGCCAAGACCATACCATTGCACTCCAGCCTGGGCAACAGAGTCAGACTCGGTCTCAGAAAAAAAGAAAAATTGACAAGGAGGAGATGTGATGAGGCTGGATGAAGGGGGAACTTACCACAACCTTCTTGGTTTGGACTTTTATTTTGCATCCAGACTTTGTATACTCTCACAAGGGAGAAATGACCTGAAAGCCATCTTCTTCAGGTACAGGTTTTCCTGCAGCTTCGACTGGGGAGAGTGAAGAGATTAGAGTAAAAGAGACTTCCTTGGAAGTTTCTGTAATAATTCAGAAATTCATGTTGACATCACAGTAGAGTAGAAAGGGCAGATCGGAGAAACATGTGATAGGAACGGACAGGCCTTAGAAGACTGAAAGGGAGAAGAGTAATCAGTTCAACACAGAGTTCTAAGGACTTACTTATTTCAGACTGGTTCTTTGGTAAGAGATTGGAATCACTGACAGAAATAGGGCAATTTAGAAAAAAAGCTCATTTTTCTGGTTAGGGTGGTGGAAAGTTTTGTTGGCATTTCCAAGGAATGGTCTGTTATATAACAAATGTCAGCTGGGCGCCATGGCTCATGCCTGTAATCCAAACATTTTGGGAGGTTGAGGCAGGTGGATCACCTGAGGCCAAGAGTCTGAGACCAGCCTGGCCAACATGGTGAAACCCTATCTCTACTAAAAATACAAAAATTAGCCAGGCTTGGTGGCACACACCTGTAGTCCCATCTATTTGGGAGGGTGAGGTATGAGAATCACTTGAACACTGGAGGCAGAGGTTGCAGTGAGCTGGGATTGCACTGCACTTCAGCCTGGGCAGCAGAGTGAGACTCCGTCTCAAAAAAATAAAATAAAACAAAAAACCCACAAATGCTCTCTAAGTATAGAAAACATAAGAAGATGCTTACGTTAATTAGGAGAAAAACTGGGATCTAAATTGTTAGATGATATGACCACAAATATATTTAAAAAAAAATCAGGGAAAACTGAGGGAATTGTCAAGAGATTATCTTTGAGAGTATAGAGAGGGGTGTGTGTGTGTGTGTGTGTGTGCGCGCGCGTGTGCGTGTGTGTGCATGTGTGAGTGTTTTAAAGAGGCAGGGTCTTGCTCTGTCCCCTAGACTGCAGTGTAGTAGCACAACCTTGGCTCACTGCACCCTGAACCTCCTGGACTCGAGATTCTCCCACCCCAGCCTCCCAAATAGCTGGGACTACAGGCAAACCACCATGCCCACATGATTTTTGTATTTTTTTGTAGAGATCACGTCTTGTAATCTTGCCCAAGCTGGTCTCAAACTCCTGGGTTCAAGTGATCCTCCAACCTTGGCCTCCCAGAGTGCTGGGATTATAGGCATGAGCCACTGTGCCCAGCCCAGAGGGGATTTTTGAATAATGTTTTCCTACTTCTTATGGTGTTCTAGCATCTTAAAATAAATAAGTTACCGCTACTACAAATGACAAAGACAATGTTAACAAAACAAGCTAACTGGATACCGTTGGCTTTTTAGAATACTCTATTTCAGAACCTAATTTTTATTTCTCCCTACAGTTTGAAAATCTGAACACAGTTGCTGAGTGTCTGTTTTCTCTGGTCAATGGTGATGACATGTTTGCAACCTTTGCCCAAATCCAGCAGAAGAGCATCTTGGTGTGGCTGTTCAGTCGTCTGTATTTATATTCTTTTATCAGCCTTTTTATATATATGATTCTCAGCCTTTTTATTGCACTTATTACAGATTCTTATGACACCATTAAGGTAAGTAATTATCAATAATTGCTGCCAAAAAAAAAATCACTGCAAATTCTGTATAGATTATAGAAAAATACCATATTTTAAAAACATACTTAAAATATTACAGTTCAGATTTTGAGGTAGACTTTTTAAAGGCTGGAGATGAATTTTAGGAAATTGTCCCTGTTACCCACAGCAGGGTGGATCGGTTTGGAGGGGTGGTGGGAAACAGAACGAAAATGGGGTAAGGATGGGTGGAATGGGGTGAGTCAGGTAGTCGGGCTGCTGGTCTCAGCCCTGACAGACAAAACTGCCAGTATGGCTACCTGAAACTTAGGATAGAGTCATAAGTTTCAGGGATGAGAGGTGACTGGCACCCTGACAACTCTCAGATATTGCTACAGCTCACACTGGATGATATGGCTACTGTCATGGCACAGGTTTCCTTAAAATTTTGAAAACTAAGGCTTTTGTGACTGTTTAGCTTCTTCCTCCCCTTCCCTTCCTTTCCCCTCCCTTCCCTTTCCTTTTTTGGAGCCTCACTCTGTTGCCCAGGCTGGAGTGCAATGGCGCGATCTCTGCTCACTACAACCTCTGCTTCCCAGGTTCAAGCGATTCTCCTGCCTCAGCCTCCTGAGTAGCTGGGATTACAGGCACCAGCCACCATGCCCGGCTTTTTTTTTTTTTTTTTTTTTTTTTTTTTTTGTATTTTTAGTAGAGACAGGGTTTCACTGTCTTGGTCAGGCTGGTCTTGAACTCCTGACCCCATGATCTGCCCATCTTGGCTTCCCAAAGTGCTGGGATTGCAGGTGTGAGCCACTGTGCCCACCCTAGCTTCCTACTTTCTTAAGCTACCTGATAGGTTCTGTATCCTTTCAGACTAGGCCCATTTAACTGATTAGGGTGCTGGTATCATCTCCACAGCAGATGATCATGCTTAGAAAACCCTGCTTCAGGGTCAGTGACTGAAAAACCAGGGGTGCCTGCCTTTGTCAGGGCTGTGTTCTGCTTAACCGCTTTCTCAGAATAATGCAGAAGAAAGCCAGTCCATTGGGGAAACTCCAGAATACCTTTTGAGTGTGTGGGGAGATAAGATTCAAGTGGGAATGGTAGTTGGCTCTTGCAGCAGGGCTTGCATGGAGAAGGAAGAGGTGCACACTCCTGCTACAGAGGAGCAGGGGAACCTCCGTGTTGAAGTGGGTTGTCTTATTAAGCATGAGGGGAGGGAGTCTTTGTGTCTGCTTGGAAAAATCTACTGTCTTCTGTCCCACTAAGTGACCAACTTCCATTAAAGTAGAGGAAATAGTGATTACTTCCCAGGCAGAGTCTACATTGCCAATGTGTATATGGAGTGGGGAGGTCTTATCTAGTCTTGCTGTTAGCATTAAAGCTTAAGACTTTTTTTTTTAAGAGAGGGTCTTGCTCTGTTGCCCAGGCTGGAGGACAGTGGTGTGATCCTACTTCCAACTCCTGGGCTCAGTCAATCCTCCTGCCTCAGCCTCCAAAGTAGCTGGGACTACAGGTGCACACTACCATACCAAGATAATTTTTGTATTTTTTTATAGAGATAGGGTCTCACCATCTTGCCCAGGCTGGTCTCAAACCCCTGGGATCAAGCGATCCTCTCTCCTTGTCTTCCCAAAGTGCTAGGATTACAGGCATGAGCCATTGTACACAGACTAGACTTTTGTCTTTTGATTATTTCCTTTATTACCTTTTTTATTACCTTTTTAAAACAAACCTCTCCCTGGCTCTCCCCTGCTTTCTTTCTGAAGTTTTTCCCTGGATTGTTCTCTGTTCCCATAGTGGCCCTGGCTTGGTGTTCTGGGACTGACAGATTGATTCATCATTGTTAATATCAGTTCTTGAATCTGAGATAGCAATGTGGGAGAGTTTTATTTTAGTAAAGGTGGGCTTGGCTTGTTGACAAAAGAGCAATTTCTCATGCTTTATAAATAAGGTAACAACATTGTGTACTTTCTAAAGAAATTCCAACAGAATGGGTTTCCAGAAACAGATTTGCAGGAATTCCTGAAGGAATGCAGTAGCAAAGAAGAGTATCAGAAAGAGTTCTCAGCCTTCCTGTCCTGCATCTGCTGTCGGAAGAGGTCAGTATCATGTTTAAGCTCCATGCTTCGGTAGTGGGCTGCTCTGTTGCCTTAAGAAAAAGCCCCTGCAATAGTGGGAAATAATTCATCTTTCTCTTCTTTCCTCCCACTAAAATTGGCTTTAGAAATGAATTGTTTCTTCTACAAGAAGTGTAGAAGAAACTTGGTGGCTTGGCAGCTGGAGCCCACGGTGATCTTTGTAAAGTACAACTCTAAATGGCCTGAAGGTAGTGGGCGAGGGACAGGGCATGGATCCCTGCCTGACCTAGTCACAGCCTTGATAGGGGAACACTATTCTGGAACTGGGCCCAAGGAGGGCTGAGCTAAGTCGTCTGGAAGTCCTGATTGCTCCTCTCACAGGCCTTCCTAGACGTGGAGGCAAACAGCCTCCCTACGACCCCACCCCACGCAGCAGGCCCCATGGGCTTCACGGGCTTGACCGGGACATCAGGTACCCTTCCTCCCAACACTGACTCAAGGTCCAGGTCTCCTGGGGCACTTCCCAAGCAGAGGACTTGGGGTTGAGGGGTGAGCATTGGGGAGGTTGTGTAGAAAGCTACATGATGTGATTGTAATCTCTTAGGAATACTGTAAGACTATTAGGAGAAGGCATAAATTATGTCCCTAAAGTCAAGAGGCTGAACTCTTAAGTGGCCCAAGTAAGAGGTCAAAGCCCTTATTTTTAGAGTTGGAACTCTGGGAATGTCAGAGGCATTTTCCCTTTTCACAGTGTGTTGTTCAAGCAACCTTTCTTGATCAGAGCAGGAAACCTCCCTGGGAGGAGGCTGTCCAAGTGCTTGGTTAGCAATGCACACCTGTAGCTCTTCCTTGCCCAGCTGTGCTTTGCCTTCTGTTCATTAGGACATGTAGGGGAATGGTCTAGACCTGGCATCCCCAAACTACGGCCCGTGGGCCGCATGCGGCCCCCTGAGGCCATTTATCCAGCCCCCCGCTGCACTTCAGGAAGGGGCACCTCTATCATTGGTGGTCAATAAGAGGGGCACAGTATGTGGCGGCCCTCCAACAGTCTGAGGGACAGTGAACTGGCCCCCTGTGTAAAAAGTTTGGGGATGCCTGGTCTAGACCTCAGTGGACAAAGCATATTGCGTAGTGATTTGTGGACTAGAATGGGGGTCAGGTGAAGACTATTTTTTTTGATGTGCCTATGTTTGCTTTCATCTGAAGTCAGGGGTGCCAGTTTGTAACTAAAAGTATACCCTACACATGTTTTTTCTTTTTGGAAGGATTCTCTAACCCATATTCCTGAAGGAAGCTAGGAAAACATAATTGCTATTTAAAACCACAGGATATATTTTTCTGTTAATCAATTCATATAGCATCTTGGGACTTAAAATGACATGATTGAGCAGATCGAGAGGATGTCCGATAAACAGAAAATGAGATCTGAGAAGAGTTGTTTTCAGAACCACACCTTATTTTCTCAGAGCACTAAATCGTTGCTGTGAAAGCTGGGATAAAGGAAATTAATTTTCTTAATAAGCAGTTGACTGCTACGAGGTACCTTGTATAAGGAAAGTCTCTCAAAATCTCTTTTTTACTGTAAGGGGGGAAAACTTCATTGGAAAATGTAGTTATGAATTCTAAAACCTAGCTGATATGTCTTTGGTGTTTGTGACACATGAAGTCCTAGGAGGTTGTTAAATGTTTTCTCATGCAGCCCTATGGAACAAGTGAAAGATTGAAGGTGTGGACCTGAAGACTTTTGGGTAAGATTGGATCTGAGCGGTGAGACGCAAGGAGCAGCAGCAGCACAGTTCACCCTAAGGTGTGCTGAGCGTTGTTGCAAAGATGCATGGTGAGACAGAGGGTCTGCTCCTCATAAAGAATGAAAGAATTCAAGGGAACAAGAGAATCCACCAAGGAGATCAACTGAAGAACTAGGATGATGAAAGTTTTGAAAAAGAGGATATCAAAGAATAAAGACAGAAGTAGCTGTAACTATATTTGGCCAAATGATGGTCCCGGGTGAAGTCAGCTATAACAGTTTTAGTGGAATCATTAGACCAAAGCCTAGATCCCAGGACCCTGCAGAGTGAATGAAGGGCCTAGGCCCTGATGGAAGGAAATGGGTTGTAATGGAACCTTGAGAAAAAGTGATGGCTTTGACTCTATCAAAAATTAAGTATAGCTTGATGTGTTTAAACGCTAGGAATGGGGCTGGGTACAGTGGCTCATGCCTGTAGTCCCGGCACTTTGGGAGGCCAGGGCAGGAGGATCACTTGAGCTCAGGGTTTTGAGACCAGCATGGGCAAGGTAGTGAGACCCTGACTTTTTAAAAAGTAAAATAAAAACTAGGAACAGAAGAATGGACTGAAATTGAGGAAATCTGTGAATGAAGGGTAAAGAGGAATATAAAGATTCAGTGCTGCAAAGATTGGTCTCTATGCGCCTGTCTGGTGACCATGACAAATGGCACCTGCTATCTCAATGCTACTTCCTGCAGAGGATGGCTGTGGTCACTCTTCTTCAACAGAACAATCCAACAACCAGCACACATTTGATCCTCCTTTGAGTTATTGAGAGAGCCTCTAGCCTGAACATCAGAACACCTGGGCTTTTCATTTTGGACACTGCCATTAACCAAGTGTGTCCTGTGACCTCTCCTAAACCTCTTAGATGGACCAGATGACCTCTGAAACCTCTTCCACTTCTAAAATGATGTGGTTCTTTGGAGAGAGATGCTTGGTTGAACAGATGCAGAATTAATCTTTCTCTTCCTCTACTGCAGTGAAGGAGGAAAATTGGCTGTTCTAGTCATTGATAAGGCCTTGTTAGCCAAGGGACATGAATATTTCTTTTTTTTTTTTTTTTTTTGTCAGAATCAAACTGATATACTTACTGAGTAAAACATAAATGTGACATGTTTTTCTTTTTTAAAAAAATTTACTTTAAGTTCTGGGATACCTGTGCTGAACATGCAGGTTTGTTACATAGGCATATATGTGCCATGGTGGTTTGCTTCACCTGTCAACTTGTCACCTAGGTTTTAAGCTTCGCATGCATTAGATATTTGTCCTAATCCTCTCCCTCCCCTTTCCCTTAGCCAAGAGGCCCCAGTGTATGATGTTCCCCTCCCTGGGGGCATGGAAGTTCTTAAGAGACAGTTGACTCCTCACAGTGTTTCCAAAGCATCTACTCAAACCTCAAACAGCGTACATCGTCCTTCTCTGTTATCTGTTTACTTATTTATTCTAAACATTGGTAAATAATCAGAGTACATTGCTTGTCTTAATTTTTCTTCCTCTTTTATGTTTCATTCAACATGTCTATAATCTATTGAGCCTAGAATACAGAGTATTCCTATTGCTCCTCAAAGATTTTAAATTATTATGTTTTCTCTTTTCTCCTTTCCCTTTCTGTTACAGGAAAAGAAGTGATGATCACTTGATACTTATTAACTAAAGTTCTTCTGCTAAAGATGATTAAAGTTTGGGCCTCCTTATTCGGTGGCTGGGCAGAGGAACCCCAAATGACTTGGACCAGCAGTTCCAAAATAACTCTCTTATTTACGGTGGAGTGTGAAAGAGGACTTGTGGTTAGCCAGCTGACCATGACTGAAGTTCCAGCTTTACTTTTTATAAACTTGAATGATGAAGAATGGACCATAGGCTACTACTGGGCATTAGTGCAATTGAACAGCAATAATAAAATTCTCTATTAGTCTATTAATCTATGACATGATCTTGGAATGGAAAACGATCATATTTCAGAGTGTACAAAACAGTAGTGTTTAAGGCCATGTCATAAATATGTGTGTTTATTGTCAAATAAGGATTTGTTTTAAAGGTTATTCTTGGGTTTGAAGACATTTGTTAATTCATGATCTGTACAGAAATGAAGTTGGTTGCAATACCAATCTAGAGACTCCTAGCTGGTGAACTGTTAAGCCATTTAAACATCACCCTTGGCCAGGCACAGTGACTCACACCTGTAATCTCAGCACTTTGGGAAGCCTAGGCAGGCAGAGCATTTGAGCTCAGGAGTTTGAGACCAGCCTGGGCAACATGGCAAAACCCCATCTCCACAAAAAATTGAAAAATTAGCTGGGTGTGGTAGCAGACATCTGTAGTCCCAGCTACTTGGGAAGCTAAAGTAGGAGGGTCACCTGAACCCTAGAGGTTGAGGCTGCCTTGAGCTGTGATTGTGCCAGTATCCTCCAGCCTGGGTGACAGAGTGAGACCCTGTCTCAAAAAAAAAAGAAAAAAGATCACCCTTAAATAAACAAAACGACCTCATACTCATGCAGTGGACTTTTCTTGGCTTGTTTTCCTGTATGTTTTCTTCAGCATGATATGAAGCAACTGTTGGCATAGCCAGTGGGAATCATTTGGCTGCCTCATCACTGTGCTGATGGTCGTTTGTACACACACGACATGTGGAAGTGACCTGTAGCAGTGGTCACTCATTTTAACAATTGAACTCCACTGTGTTGGGTATTTGCCTTTGTCTAGCCAAGAAATATTGTATATTTTCTCTAAATAAATTTATTTTTATCATTCCATATAGCACTATTACTATTTTATGCAGTGTCTCTAAACAACTTCCTAGTGAAAAATTCAGATCACATCTCTCTTAACTACTTGGTCTCCAAAAGGGATTTCCCAATTTCTTAAAAGCAGTGAAGGAGATTACAGAGTCTAGGACACGGAAGTTATTCAATAAATATTTATGATGATAGCTTGAGAGATGAAGATCACTTCATGCACAGACTTAGTTCATACTTGAGCTATCTCAGTGGTCAACTGTTTAAAAGTTATTGGTAAAGAGGAGAATTTGAATTAAGCAGGACCCCCCTTCCAGGGCTCTTCCTCTTTCTCCTTGGCCTCAGTGGCCCCTCCCCACAACCCCCTACCCAGTTTTCCTCCTCCTGTGCCCTTTCCTCTCCTTGCTCCGACTCCACTTCATATGCCTGTATCAAATCTAGGAAGGGAAAAATCATGCAGTTAATACCATTAAAGTTTCTTAAGAGAATAAATGACTCATATCTACACACAGAAAACTTTGCTAAAAATTATCACTTTAAACTTTCTCTTTTGCAAAATATGTGAAGTTATGTTTGATTTTTAAACCAAGACACCATTAAACTTGTGGTTTGGGGGTAATTTGCATGACTCCAGAATCAGATATGTAATGGGACCACTTGTTAACTTCTGAGTATATTGTCATATACTTAGTTTTGTCTCTGAAAAGAATTGCTTTTTTTTTTTTTTTTTTTTTTTTTTAAGAGGGAGTCTGGCACTGTTGCCCAGGCTGGAGTGCAGTGATTCGATCTTGGCCCACTGCAACCTCTGCCTCTTGTGTTCAAGCAAATTCCCTGCCTCAGCCTTCTGAGTAGCTGGAACTACAGATGCCCACCACCATGGCTGGCTAATTTTTAGTATTTTTTTAGTAGAGATGGGGTTTCACCATGTTGACCAGGATGGTCTCAATCTCCTGACTTTGTGATCCGCCCACCTCGGCCTCCCAAAGTGGTGGGTTTACAGGTGAGTCACCATGCCTGGCCCAAGAATTGCTATTAAAAGGCTTTCACTTATTGTGCACTGTGACTGCCATTTGAATAGAAGATTAATGATGGTCTTTCATGCTCACATTATTCTTTTATTGGCTTTCATGTTTTCTTTTATTTCTTTCTCTCCAGCTGGACAAAACCATTTTAAGAAGAAAAATGTTTTTCAGGGTTACCCCACATCTATAGCAGACATTGTTTTCTCCCTTTTTAATAATGCTAAACAATTGTCACTTTACCAACTGTATTGTCTATTTGGATTTTATTGAACAATATTGTCCCATAATTCTGCTAATAGACACATCTGGGATAAATCATTTTCTTTCTTATCATTAGCCTCCACTTAGAGAGTTCTCTGTGAAAGTTAGGAGACACATTCTTTCTGCCTGCTGGTTTCATTCTGGCATCTCCAACCTTGAATTCACTTCCTTGGCTAGTGATGACACAGTCAAAACCATATGCAACATCTTGAAGCTTGTTCACTTAGAGTGGTGGGAGAGAGTGTGGGCATAAGAGGCATCTAGACAGACTTGAGTTAAAATTCCAGAGAATATGTTTCAGGACCACCAGTAGAGGCCTTAAATGCCAAACAGTACTGAATCTCTCATAGGTTAAGCATCCCTAATTCAAAAATCCAAAAGCTGAAATGCTCCAAAATCTGAAGCTTTGAGTGCCAACATGGCTCCACAAGTGGAAAGCTTCATAACTGACCTCATGTGATGGGTCACAGTCAAAACTTTGTTTCACACACAAAATTATTTCAAATATATGAAATGACCTTCAAGCTATGTATATAAGGTATATATGAAACATAAATGAATTTCATGTTTAGACTTGGATCCCACTCCGAAGATATCTCATTATGTATGTGTTAATACTCCGAAAGCTGAAAAAATCCAAAAGCTGAAACACGTCTAGTCCCAAGCATTTTGGATAAGGGATACTCAACCTTTATATATTATATTATGTTTTTTTCCTGTACATACATACCTATGACAAAGTATAACTTATAAATAAGGCACAGTGAGAGATTAACAATAACAAAATAGAACAATTAAAACAACACTATACTGTAATAAAAGTTGTATAAATGTGTCCTCACAAAATATCTTACTATACTGTATTCACCCTTCTTATGATGTGAAATGATAAAATGTGTATGTGATGAGATGAAGTGAGGTGAGTGACACAGCCATTGTGATGTAACATTAGGCCACTACTGACTTTCTGATGATATGTCAGAAGGTGGCCCCGGATCATTGAGCCATGAGCAGATCAATGGTTAGATGTCAGGAGCAGACGATGCTAATGACTAATGGATGGGGAGCGTCTCAGAATGGCCACGCCGGACAAAGCGAGGGTGCACGTGCCAGAATGGATGGGATGAGACAGCGTGAGATTTCATCACACCACTCCAAATGGCAGGCAACTTAAAGCTTATCAAGTATTTATTTCTGGAATTTTCCATTTAATATTTTCAGACCAAGGCTTGATCTCTAGTAACTGAAACCACAGACAGTGGATAAGGGGAGCCTACTATATTGCAATGAGGTTATGTTTTTCTCTACCAAATATCTAGAATTTCAGTTTGTAAAGCATGCATGAAGTAGCTCTTGGGTGAGGAGTGATGAGGACCTCACAGGCTAAACCCTAAGCACAGCATTCTGATTTCAGACACTTGAGGAAGGACAATAGGCACAGGAACAGGAAACTGGTGGTTTCATGTCTTGATGCAGATGCTGACTGAGCACTTCTGCTTTTCCTCTTTCCGCTTGAGATGTTCCAGGCTCTGGATACTGCTGACATGCAGGCCAGCTCTGTGGCTTTGTAATCTGTGCATTCTCAAAGACCCTTGTGCTCGGCTTAATGGTCCATCATCAGACTTGAAATTCTTAATGTTTCTTGAACAAGGGACCCCACATTTTCATTTTTCAGTGGCCCGCACAAGTTATGTAGCTAATCTTGATGATGGGATTATATAACTCAGTGATTAAAGCATGATTTTTAAAAGAGAAGGCTAGGAACCCACGAATGTACTTTTAAATTTAATAAATTAATAAAAGAAAAACGAGAACCTGAGTTGGAATTGCTTTTTCAAAAAACAGACTTTATTTTTTAGAGCAATTTTTGGTTTACAGCAAAATTGAAAGGCAGGTATAGCGAGTTCTCATATCCCTCCAGCCACATATGTGCACAGCCTCTACCATTAACAACATCCCACACCAGAGTGTTACATTAGCTACAATCCAACCAATGGGGCTGCACTGCACATCATTACCACCCAACGTCCATAGTTTACGTTACTGTCATTCTTGGTCTTATACACTCTGGATTTGAACAAATGTATAACATGTATCCACCGTTATAGCATCATACAAAGTAGCTTCACTGCCCTAAAAATCCTCTCCTCTGCCTCACTACCCATTCCTCCCTCCCCACCATCCCACACCTGAACTCCTGGCAACCTCCAGTCTTTTTACTGCCTGTAGTTTTTCCTTTTCCAGAATGTCATATAGTTGAAATCCTATAGGGCGTTGCCTCTCCAGAGTGGCTTCTTTCACTTAGTGATACACATTTACGTTTCTGCCTCCTCTTTTCCTGGATTTGCTTTTTAACAGGCATTTAGGTACACCATTTTCTTCTGTGCTCACAAATAAGTGGCTGTGGAGCCACTTCCTACCTTACAAAGATGGAGATTAAACTTCTGTGGTTGGTGATATTGATCAAGGTTCCCACATTGTGCTTGCAGGCTGAGTGCTGAGCCACTCTCCCTTGTCCCATGCCCCACCCTCCATCAGTGAAAAGCCTCATTTTCTGGCTTTCCATTTGATGTTTCTTCCTTGACAGAGATTTAGTTTAGGGCGGTTCACATTCTTAACTCAAGCATGTTTGCCCAGTTGCCGTATGACCTCCAGCCTTGTTCGGCAAAATACAAATTCATGGTTGTTTTACTATGGGTTCCTTTATAGTAAGTGCTGCAGCAAAGCAGTGCATAAAAGAGATGGCGAATGTTTCTCTTGCCACCTGTCTCTGCCAGAGAACCAGGGAGTGAATATGAAGCTAAACGAGTTACAGACAAGCATTTCCACACCACCTTACATAACAAGGACAGCAAAACTCTGACTTCTCAAAGACCTCCGGGAGCTATTGGCTATGGTGAATGGGAGAGACAATTTATTAGGGTGATGTATGTTTCTTAGTTTCTAATGATACATAAATTATCCCATGAGCCATGATACATATGGCTTAAAGAGAATTTTAAATGAAAGCAATTTTTTTTCTAGCATCACTAATTGCCTAGCAGCAGTAAATTACTCATCCCCCATGGCCTATGGGCTGTGGTCATTACTCTCTCCTCGAGGTTGAGCAGATGTCCCCCAAGAGGAACGTTTGCTCTGAAAAAGTGAATTTATATCCTTGCTTGTGAGCCTGCCATGCTAGGTCTAGGGAGGGAGAGAGTATTAATCATGCCTTTCGGACGTAGCACTGTGTTTGTGCCTTCCTACATGTGTTATCTACCATGGCAGGACAGTGAATTGAGTCTCAGCTCTTGGTTTGCCTTTGGGGGAAAATCAGAGTGCTGCTATCAATAATTAAACTCCTCTGGCTGGCTGGTGGGAAGGGAGGCATGGTTTGAAGGATAGACTTAGCTAATAAGCATGGAAGTTTCCTAGATGACAAGTTAAGCAAGGGAAGTGATAAACATCATTAGTTTTGGGAAACACTAGATAACTGCATGATATGTAGAAGGAAAATGATGCTGCTATCAACGACCATTAATTCAGCACATTTTTGTTGATTTCCACTACTGTGATAAACACTAGATATGCAAGGAATTAATGACAAGAGTCCTGCCCTCACCAAGTTTGGTGTCTAGTGGGAGAGACGATCACAGGAAAAAACAAAGATAATACAAGGTCAGCCCAAGGTACTATATGAGAGCAGAATGGAGATAACTTCTGCCTGCCTGTTGAGGAGGCTAGGCAATGCCAGAA